GGTTGCCTACCCCTGGCCTAGCAGGACATAATGTTTGTTGTTTTTCTGTTTTTTCCTTCATGAGAGATCATATTATTTTAAAGTGAATGGTACTCCAGCAATAGCATGTGGAATAGCAAACTTGAACTTGGAAGTGCAAATCCTGGTCTTAGTGAAGAAACACAACTGTCTTTTATTTTTTCCTATTATTCATCTTGGAAGCATAAATAAAAAAGCAGTGGTTAAGGCTGTATTCATATGATTTTGTCAAGGGAGTTAATGGGCAGAAAAAAAGACCAGCACAATGAGATTTGGCAGACAACTCACCAGCTTTCTGCACCTGGAAATTCTATTTCAAGTTGTTCTAAATTTTGTATAATTTTCCATGTACTATGACTAAGATTATAAATATTTGTAAAGGGGAAAGGAGGGGAAGAAGATTAAGGGAAAAACGGTTTGTAGAAGGAGCTGTCGTAACTGAAATGTCCACACATATTGTTTTATTACAGGCTAGTTAGTACTCTAGAAAAGAGAAACAAAATTCAAAATAATCTTGATAGATTAATGAAACGATGTGTCCTCATTAAACTAGAATAAGAATGATTTGCCACAATTTTCAATCTTTGACCTTGCGTTCTTCAACTTTTTTATTTATTACTTGGAGGAGGACATGGATAGAATGTTTATTTTTCTTTATGAGATTGGCAGAGACACAGCATTTGATAGGAGAGTTAATAACCTAGAAGGCAGGAATAAAATTAAAAAAATGATATTATAGTGGGAGAAGTGGGCTGAGAAAACAACTGAATAAAGATAAATGTAAAATTTTGAACTTAGGACATAGAAATATAATGCCTAGATATAGGACAGTGAATCCATGGTATTTGTGAAAAAGAAATCATGGAATGGTAGTTGTTTGCTAGCAAAAAGCTATAGGAGTTAACATGGTTCCAAAAAATACAAATTTTGAGTTGTATCAGTAGAAGGTAACTTCAAAATCAGGGGAAGGGACAGCATAGTCTGCAGCTGGATAGTGGGCAGAGCAAGAGGCTCAGAAGAAACCCTGCCTAACTTTCTGAGCTGTAAAGGAGATGGCAGGAGAATTGTACATTCAAACTTGCAAGGTTGATGTCAGCCTTACCAGGTAAACCAGACAGGACACATGACCAGATAAGATACAGTAATTCTACTTTATTAGAGAGATACATTGATAGAATATTGAAAGTCTGAAATTTCAGTCCTACCCCCATCCCCATCTCCGTTACAGCTTGAGAAACTAGGAAGGATCCATTCTGAGCTGATTGCCCCACTCACTATTCAGCTGTGGGTTATGCTATCTCTTATTTGTCGATTCCCTAGACTGAAAAACTACTTTACAACCAGTCCTTGCATTTAGTGATTGTCACATAACTGAGATTTGGGGGGCTTCCGAACTACATAGTGGGTATTTATAACCAGCACGTTGTCCTGCAGTCACACGATTGCCATTTATGCATTTCATAGCCAGTTTCTGCCAAGTAGAGTCAATGGAGAAGTCAAAAGTAAAATAGCAAGTTGCAGCCATGTGATATCTTGCTTAATGCCTGTGAATGATTTGCTTAACAACCATGGTGGAAATGAAATCATGTCCATCACAGTCATGTGATCTCTTGCTTAATCACCATATCACTTAGTGATGGAGTTGCCAGTCCCAACTATGGTCATTAAATGAGCACTGCCTGTAAGTTTAAATTAATAATATTACATTTTTTTTTACCTTTTGGGCAACATGGATCTGCATTTTGTACAGAAGTCCCAGCGAATTTTGAAAACTACTGTCATCCATATCTTCTTTTCTCTGAAATATGCCCGTCTTTTTCATTTGCTTTTCACAAGACTTGTTTACTTTTTCCTTTCTGTGAAAGTTTATTTATTTCTTAAAATGCAGAGACCAGAACTAAAACAATATTTTAGATGCATTCTGACTAATACAGAGCAGAGCAAAACAATTACTTCTAATAAGCTTAAAACAATATTTCTTTTCTATTTTCTTCAGTTTGCAAGTTGAGTAAAATAATAAACCCACACAGCATATCCCTCTCATGCTAGTTAAAAGTAATTTCAGACATATATTCATGTCTTGTCATAAATTATTCATATTTAGGTTTATAGTATTTACTTAACAATAATGATGAAATGGGAAGTCAGAAGTACAGTATATGCACCCCAGGCTTCTGAGTTGTTCTTCCAACTGTGATATTCAATGATAAAATATTTTTCATATATAGAAAAAGTGATGCTCCTCAGACCATTGCATTGTTGCTTTGTTTGCTCTAGTTGTTTGTTTGCAGTCATACACAGTATCTGTTAGTCTCTTGGCAACCAATTCATTGAAAGTAATTCTCCCAAGCAAAATTCTCAGAATCTTCGTTAGCAGAATAGAAGTGAGATGAAAGGATAGAATTACAAGAATTTTAACAATGGAATTGTTTCTAGTTTAGAACCAATTTATCCCTCAATAATTAGGTTAGGGATTCCCCCCCCCATCTCTAATCAATTTTTATGTGTTTTTTTCCATAAAGGAGGACCTTGCAGATGGTTTGTTATAAAACTCTTATAAGAATATGAGCCAAGCATTACAGTCACTCATTCTGTTGTCCTCCAGTTAATTTCCAAATAATTAGTATGTAATTCAAAAGAATCTGATCAACTTCAAATTCTATGAACCTTTCTAGAACAAAATTAATATATAAAATAACTTCTGTTCAGAAGGGAGATAGTATATCATACTTCTAGACATATGAACCAGAATTGAATTTTGGACATTCCCTCTTCAGCAGTTTATTTCAACCTGGTAATTTCCTCCTTATAAGGCATTTCAACAGATATGCAATAATATTTTGGTCAACTAGTTGTAATTTTAGATCTATAGAAATATATTTTACTTATTTATTTAATTATATTGATAATCAGGTGTGATGGCTCAGCGGTTAAAGACATTAAGCTTATCAGCTGGAAAGCTGACTGCTGGGGTTTGAGACCCAAATGCTACACAATGGGTTGAATTCTTGTTTCTTGACCTAGCAAGTAACCTAGCACAGTGGTGTCGAACCTATGGCACGCGTGCCAGAGGCGGCACTCAGAGCCCTCTCTGTGGGCTCGTGCGCCATGCCGTGGAGATGGCAACCGTCTCTCTTCAACCAGCTGCCTGCTAACTCGCCGAGGTCCCATGTGGTTGGATGCATCCCAGCACGGCTGGTTTCCCTTCCCCCTGTCCCATCCCTCCTGGCCTCGCATGCTCTCCTTTTCCCGGGCACGACCCACTGCATTGCCTCCTCAGCTGTCGGCTGGCCTTCCAGGTCAGAGGTGGCTTCTCTGAATTGCTGGTGGTTGGCTGCAGAGCCCCAGAGTGTGCCGGTTAAGGGGTCGGCAGGCTGTGGCTGCTGACAGACACTGTTGGCCCCATGCGCTCACTGGCCTCTGTGTGCAGGGGCTGATGGTGTCAGGCAGCAACAATGGCACCCCGCCCTGCCTCTCCTCACCCTGCAGGGCGAACCTCCTGCCCACCGCCCCACCTGCCAGAGACCCCCTGGATCTCCCCCAACCCTGGCCGGCCCCCACAAGCATCCATCCCCATAAGCAACATCGATGTGACCATGCCCACCTTGGCCACACCCACCTAGTCTGCCATGACCACCACAGCCACGCCCACCCAGTGGACCATGCCCACCTGGCACCCGGCGATAAATAAGTGGGTTTTGGGTTGCAGTTTGGGCACTCAGTCTCTAAAAGGTTCGCCATCACTGACCTAGCAGTTTGAAAGCATGAAAATGTGAGTAGATAAATAGGTACCACTTCAGTGAGACGGTAACAGCATTTCATGTGCCTCAGTGTATAATCATGCTGGCCACATGACCATGGAAATGTCTTCAGACAATGCTGGCTCCTAGAGTTAGATACAACTGGATAGGGGAAACCTTTACCTTTATATTGATGATCATATTTTAATTTTCAGATTGCTCCAATCTTAACTAACTCTGGATGTGGAGGCAACAAGGCAAGACAAACAATATAAAGAAAAATAAATCTTAAATTTAATTATCTCTATCAGGATGCCAAAAGCAATTAAGGGAGGAAGACATGTTTGAATAAATTAAACTTGATTGCAAAGTGTAGGCAAGATTGTGGCCCTCAATACTTTTAAATGAGAAGATCCATCCATCCATCCATCCATCCATCCATCCATCAAATTTAGGTACCATCCATGTCACTCTTAGAGTGTCCTCAGCCATCACTGAGAAGGCTTGTGTCAAGCTCGAAGCACATGTATGATGTTGCCATCGTTATTGCTTCTCAGCTTGCCAATGCACTAGGGGGAAGGAGAGGGGAAAATAGAATACAGACTCCAGACAACAAGAAGTCAGCCCGTGTGAACCAAATATGTTTCAGCAGGTGTTTTCAAACACAGAGAGACACTTTCTCATAACAATATTTTGACATTTGATTGGACTATGTTACTTGCACTAATAAGGAGAGGGAGAATTCTATACTTGAATTATAGTCGTTTGGTGCAGAAAATAACCAGAGCTGATTTTGCTTTAAACTGTGCCCAAATGATGTACTCAATAAAGTTTTGCATTAAGAGATGGGATTTCTTGATGGTGTTTGCTTGGTTGGGTTCCTCAGTCGGAACCTTGACAGCTTGTTTACTGGCTCATAGATCTTGTGACGAGAAGAGATTCTCAACAGGCACTTTTCTAGATATCCAGACCAAATGGCAGATTCAATTCTGATAAGGTGTTGCCTGATATACTCTAATGCTGCACCATTTTATAGATACTAAAATGGAATTCCATTGACAGTTGTGTGGTAGACACTCCAATTCCTTATTCCATTTCTTTTGAAGATCTAATTTAGTGTATTGAACATCTTAGTGTGTTCTAACATATGTTTATCAATGGTTATGATTAGCTAAAATTTAATTTTAGCTTTTCATTTAAAAAAAAGCTCTTCATCCCTTTCTGTATTTTTATGCCAAGCAGGAAGTTGTTATTGGAGATCTGAAGCCAGGGACTCTCCATACTGTCAGCATAGGAGCTTATGGCTGGGCAGGAAGAGGCAAAGCCAGCATGCCTAGAAATGTGACAACTCTATCACAAGGTAAATATTATTTGAATAGCTTTCTATTAAGTGTGCTGATTGAGACAGAATTCACTGTAGACACTGTAAAGGTATTTCAGAAAGGTACATGGGACGTCAGGAAAGTTTCAGTACAGTGCAGAAACAGGAATGAGTAAGTTATGGCAATTTCAAAGGAGCCTCTGGTCAGGAGACAGGATGCAATTGTAATTGTGAAAAGAATGATGAGGATTATTAAGGTGTCAAATAAATTTAGTATGATATGACTTAGTATGCTTTCTAGGTGCCAGTGTGGTTCTTTTCAAAAGTCTACACAAAGGCATTTGGAAATTAGTTTATTTTAAATCATAGGGCTTCTTCTGGTCCATAATTATATTTATTCATTCAGAGCAACACTTTAATCTTTTAAGTATTTCCCCCTATGAAAGGGAAAAAATGGTGGTATTTTCTATATTGAATAGCAGCAACTTTTCTGAAATTGAAACAAGGATGGGAAGAAAGTCCAGTGTTTGATTTTCTTTTAACATTACAGTTTTATGAAAGGTTTTGCTCCTACAAGTATTTCTGAGATTTCCAAAATGTCCAATAATGTATATAATTGCTTTTTTCCCCTCTTAGATAAATGTATGCCTCCAGCTCCACCTAGTCAGCCTCAAGTCATTGTTGTTTCAGACTCAGAGGTTGCTTTATCATGGAAACCAGGGCCAAGTGAAGGAAGTTCTCCAATTGAGTACTACACTGTGGAATTTATCAGGTGATCTTGACTATGGTATTAGAATGGAAGCATATACTTTTTCCATATACTGTATGTGGGTTTATATGTGTTTCAGTCTGATGTCATTAATGTAAGTGAAACTGGTTCTTATTTATTCATTAGTTTAAATGGCTTTGATTCAGCACAGCTTCAGAGTTGCTTTTGGGTTTTGGACCAAGTCAGTCTTGCTTTTTCTTTGTTGTTTATGATACATACATACTCTGGACCACCACAGTAGCTCATGCAGAGGTCTCCAAAGCTCTACATGTTACAATACAATATGGAAAGGTGGGCTTCTATTTAATCCTAACTCATCTCTGAACTATCTACTGGCTGTTACTATAGCATTTTTTCGCTTCCATTTTATTTATTTATTTATTTATTTATTTATTTATTTATTTATTTATTTATTTATTTATTTATTTATTTATTTATTTATTTATATTTGTTGGTATCCCAACTAGGAGACTCCACTTAAGGATGTATCAGTTAGGTATATAGAAAATTCCCATGTAAACTCATATCTGTATTTTATGTTTATATTGGCTTGCTCCACTGATGGAATGTTCTCTGTAACAGTGGTGGATGAGATCTTTTGTCTTGAGCAAATTTCAATTTTCTGATCATTGTAGGAACTCCTGTTTTAATACCAGTGTCAGCCTTTCAGTCCCATTCCTTTATTGGCAATTAAATTTTTAAAAGATATAAAATGTAGGCAGTTTTTTTTTTAAATTAAGAATGCCTGGTTTCATCCAATTTTTTTTTATTAAATGTGTTTATTAGATTTATTAAACAAAAATGTTAGTGACTCATTCCTAGCCTAATTCAGAGGTTGTTTCATTTTGGTGGGTAAAGTTGGTGTGGTTATGTGGTCTTCTTCAGTTCTATGCTCTTCAGATGGCTATATATTGTGCAGGCGAATTTAGCTGAGTGGTTTTCAATTTTTTTGTTCGTGTAATCTATTCTGAAACTTGCCTTTTCCCATGACACAAGAAGGCAGTATGATTTGGAAGCCAAAAAGACTGATTTTAAAAAATATATTTATTTCACGCATGGTTCTGAGTCTTTGTTGGACCACAATCATTATGCATTGTGATTGTTAAGCAAACCAGTGGTTCACCATGGGGATGGTTTTGCTGAAAACCTGAAGTGTCAGTTTTTAGCAAAACCATTATAAAATATGGTCATGTGACCATGGGTTGTATCAAATGGACATAAATGTGGCTATGTTGTCAAGCACCAGAGGTTTGGTCAGTGATTGCAGAAGTGAGCCAAACATTGGAACTTCGAATCCAGGTTGTAAGTAGCCCCAAGGTAGGTCCGTCATAATTTCAAACAGTCACTCAGTGACCAGTTGTATCCCAAGGGATACCTGTATTGCTATCCTTGACATATCACTCAAGGCCACGTGTGGCCCTTGGACTGGAGAAAGTTGCACAGTCCTGCCCAAGAGCATACTGGAATTTCCAATATTTCCATGGAAGGTTTTCCATGTATCTCTGTAAGGATCAAGTATGAGGAGGGAAAATAAGCCTGTAAAGAATTCTTGCATATGTTATCCTTCTCTTTTTCATGTTTTGCTGTAGCAGAGCAATTCAAATGAATGGCAAAGTATTGTAACTGAGCAGTATTGTGCAATTGCCACTGTGAGTTACTCTTGCCAGTAGGGAATTTCTGTAGGTTGTTTGGTGTCTTGTCCANAATCCTCTAGGATTGCTGGTTCCTTGGGAGTCAAGCAAGGATTTAGAATTGGAAATGTTTGCTTATTCTTTTCAAACTGGGCAGGATTCTTCATATGCTCAATGTCATTTTAAGATGTAGAGGTTTTCTTGAGTGAGGGTAAATGAATCACAATTATTATAAAATGAAGAGAACTATTCAGAAAGTTTAAAGAAAGGGGAACAGACACTCTTAATTATAAGAAACAGAAGAGTCCCTTGGGGTTTGGATCCACATGAAAAACAGAGTAGTCAAATAATTAAATGGCCCTTAGTGGATCAAGGGAATTTGTTAGGAGAAATTTCTTTAAGAAAAAGAAGACAATATTTTACAGTTGAGTCACTTTTTCTTAGTCTTTTTTACAGAGATTTAGGTTGTTGTTGTTTTTTATTTTAAAAAAGCCTTTTTGTTGTCTCCTGTAGCTGGAAAAATTGGTTTCTCAAGTTCACAGAACTGGACAAAGCTGAAACAAACAGTTCCAAATTGCTCTCTTTTTTATTTCAGAGTACGCCCTTCTTGCTCAATAGAAATGACCTTCAGATGATTAAATCATTTTTATATTGACTGATTAGAAAAAGCCAGATGAGTCTATTTTGACAGCATCTCTGGACTACAAATAAAGCAAACAAGAAAAAAAAGCCCACACAAAATATCTCTCTTGTGCTACAGTTTTTATTAGAATGCTTCCAAAAATGTTTGCAGCTGGTTTCTTATGTAAACAATAGTACATTTAAAACTTGAAAAGTTATTTCCTGCAGTAAATATTTCAAGGATGCCAGACTAAATGGGACAGCAATTTAGTCTTAAGTGTCAAAGTCTTTCAGTCTCTGTTATGTTCAGTCATTTCCGTAGGAACTTTAGCAAGTTCATGGGAGTAAAAATTGTAGTTTTGTCATTTATATTGAACATTGTAGGAATGATCCCATGGGAAAAAGGATAGCCTCTTCCTCCTATTTATCCCTGTAATGCTGAGTGCTCAGCACAGTTAGGATGTTCACATGTCAATAATTTTGTTTTTTCTCTGCAAGCTTCCAGCAAGTTTGACTCTTATATCCTTTGGACCTGCTTTTGATTTAGCCTCCTTGCTGGACACCAACAATTTAAAATATAGGGTTGAGCAAGCCAAGGAAAGCTGTAGCGGAACTTCTTATTGGAGTGAGAATATAGCCAGGGAACGAAAGATGTCCTGACATAAAAGTGAGTGGAGAAGAGATGGTCACTAATTCATCACTGGAGGACAAAAATGTTACACTAAAAAAAAGCTAATTAAAAAAATCCTCATATGAAAATAACCATGATAATGCAGTTTTAGGGTTTTTATTCTCTTCCATATTATTGTAATTACATTGTTGCCTGTATTAAAGCAGAGCTATTTTAAAATGCTTTGATAAGTTTAAAAATAATAGCTATAATTTAAATAAACAAAATCCTCTCCTGAATGGCTATATAAACATGCTTAAGTTTCCTAACCAAATCTTATCAATCATCTAGTTTAGAGTATATGATATGTGATTAGCTTAGTGTAGGGGTAGGCAACCTTGGCTCTTTTATGACTCATGGACTTCAACTCCCAGAATTCCTGAGCCAGTATATCACTTTGTTGGCATATACATGTCTACGATAGCTGTCATATTTGGTAGCTCATTGGACCTTTCTCTCATTAGCCAACAATCATTGTATTAGGCTGCAGCAGCAGAAGTTGAAAAGCAAGGCCATTCCATCAACTTGGTGGAGAATGGCAGAGTCCTTTTCTTGATATGTTTCCATTCCAGCTGACCAACCTTGACTTGGCCTTTGAGTGGTACTTAGCTCCCAACAGTAGGTGGGACCAGCAAAAAAAGATTAATGGCTGGGAACATTAAAAAAAATATTTAATTTAATTCACTTTCAAATGTAATTTAATTCAAATTAATTCAATAGAGTTAAAAGTGATTTTGCCGCGTACATCTATTTTTTTTTTCTTCTGTTACATAAAAATGTGATGATTTATTTAAGGGTTTTTAGAAATGTGTTAAAAAAAACCCTTGGAACTGATGTCTGTGCTATGATAACTATTGTAAGCACTGATGCCCAGGGTCCATCTCTTTTCTCCTTCCTGTTCCTTTTCCTTTTTCTGTTGGCCCATTTAAGTTTTAAGTCTGTGGGGACGAACCACCTTATTGTACTGATTGCATGCAAATTGCTTTTCAGATGGTTTTAAATAAATAACTCTTCTCTGATTGTTGTTGTTGTTTTGCATGAGAATGGGATCTGAGGTTTATGCATACCAAAATCAAAACAATCAGGAGACACCAACCAGCGTAAAACCCTCAAATCACGTAATTAAATTTCACATTCACTATTCCTATTAGAACAGCAAATTTAGCAAATGTTCAATATTGGCAAATGTTTGGCTCTTGCTAATTGACTAAGCTCACTTTAATTACATTTTGGGCTCTTTGTTCATCCCAATCAGACCCGATTTTGATACCAAATGGACAGCAATTAGAGAGCAGATCCAGATGGACTCTATGATCCTGAAGGGGCTAACTCCAAACGACAAGTATCGGTTTGCCATCCGAGCTACAAATTCATATGGGTCCAGCCTGCCAAGCATTGCCAGTGATATAATCAGAATGTTCCGTGAGTAGACAACCTTATATTGCTGAGCATTGAAAATGTTGTGTGGCTGATAACTTTCCCTGGCTCCTGACTATTTAAAAAATAGTCAACTTTCCCTGCTGCCTTCATTTCCTCAACATATGACTTATGAAAATGCCAAACATAGATATAATTCAAGAAAACCAAGCCCCCCTTCTTCTTTCATAACTATATTTCATAGTTAAGCATGGCACATGTGGGGAACAATAACAGTTTGCTGGGGCAGATTAAATGCTGCAGAGCGTTCATCAGAATAATGATTCTTTAGAAATAAAAGATAAAATAAAAGTAAGATCCCAAATGTTTAGAACTGTAATATTAAGAATCTGTTATTTTTTGTGTCTTATCACCTATACTATTTTTAATCCAAACCTTTTCATTAGATTCTTTATCTTTTCCTTTTTTTATTTTCATAGCTCTTTATTCTGGTAGCATTAGACTAGGTTTCATATGAATTGTCCTGATTATTTTGATTTCTTGTGTTTAAATTTAATTTCCAAAGAGAATGTTTATGAAAACCTCCTGAAGATATAATCATCATTTATATCTTTGCCCAGAAGGTCATAAACCTTGTTACTGAGTGCACATTTTTTCTGACATCCTGTTTATCTGTACATGAAAATATTTTCAGAACTTTCACAACCAAGGGTGAGAAATTTGATGTACTACAGTTGGTAGTAAAGCAAGGAAATAATGGTTGATGGTTCCCACAATATTAATGTGTTACTGAGAAATCCAGTGTAACCTTCATCACCCTTTCCTTGAACCAATCCACTTGAGGGATAAGAGAAGCAGATTTGATTCACAGTGACTGGTATTATGCAGAACACTGGGCAACTAACAAGTTTAACCTGCGCTAGTGACATCTCTAGTGCAATCCTTCTTAAAGAGATTATTAATTCCCATTTATGCCTAGGAAGAATAGTAACAATCACCTTTGGAAACATGGCTAACAAAGAAGGAAAAATCTGCCATTCACCAGTTATTCTGTTTCATTCAATCCTTAGCATAAGGAGAACTTGAGTGCATAAAGATATTTATATTCAATAAAAATGCCCTTAATATTTACAATGTGAGCATTTCAGTCTCTCTGTACCATTCCATCATAATGGCATTTTGCAAATAATAATAGCAATGAAAGTAAAATACTTTGGTGAGCACACTTTGAGATTCTAGTATATGGGATAATCTTTATTTGGTGACAGATACTACAGTACATGAGCATAGCAGGGCTACTACACATATCCAGTGGATTAGTAAAATTAATTAGTAACACTAATGTTTCCACTCCCAGGGCCAAGACGTTAGTCACTGGACACTGATACATTTTTTTTTCATTTAGTTATAGCCATTAGACAGAATCCCCTCCTGTAGACCAAGAATTCAACTATTTTCCAAATATAACTAACTTCTGAAATTAACTCTTTAATAGCAATAGCACTTAGACTTATATACTGCTTCACAGTGCTTTACAGCCCTCTCTAAACGGTTTACAGAGTCAGCATATTGCCCCCAACAATCTGGGTCCTTAATAAGATGGCTTCAGAACTTTTTGAAGTTCTTGAACTGAATTGCCATCTAAGTTAGCAATAGGAAAAAGGCTTAACCATGTTCTTACTTGTTAGGATTGAATTGATTAACATAACCCTTATTAGTTGTTAGAATGGATGTTTTTTTTTAAATTATGGCTACACAAATGGGAGTATGCCTTAAGATGCTACTGTTCATTGCACACTAAAGATCTGTACAAAAATAAGTTCCAATGGGCTATGGGATGTCCTTCATGGCACTTTTAAAACATTGGATAATTCAAGAATGAAATATACTTCCCTAGTACTACTCTGTTAGGCTCATAAAGTATTTATAATATTGGGAATGCAATATCTATATCTATTTTAAATAATCAGCTTTAAAGAAAACCACAAAAGAACAGAACTAAAATAGGAGAGGAAAATACAAAAAGCCATTTTAAAAGTAATAATAACACAAAGGAGGCAAACCAGGTAAAAACTTGCATTTTATATATATTACTTGCAGAAAATTAATACAATCTTTGCCTTTATCCATAATCTGGATAAGGGCAAAGGGCCAAATCTTTATAAATAATCAGTACATAAACCCGAAGCCAGCAGCTCTGAACCTTTTTGACACCAGGGACTGGTTTCTTGGAAGACAATTTTTCCATGAACGGGGGTGGGGGTGGGTAATGGTTTTGGTTGCACTTGCTTACCCACCGCTCACCTCCAGCTGTGCAGCTTGGTTCCTAACAGGGCCCCCTGGGGGTTGGGGACCCCTGCCCTAAACTATTGTAAAATGAAGTGATTTATGAAATGATTTTCATGATTTATAAATTATGTTCATATTAAGCAAAAAAAATCAGAATTTTAATGTACAACTGTTTCACCAATGCCCCCAAAGATATGTTGAACTGACTTTCATTTACACTGTGTAAATCTCTTATTTGTTACACACTAGAATAATTATTGTTTTCTGGAATCATATCTGGAACTTCTTTGTTTGCACAACTAAATTAAGGTTAATCTTGCCAATGTTTGGTGTTATAAAGGGAGAATTATGCATTATTTCCCAAAGAAATTTCTCCCCCACCCCAAAAAAAAACCCCAGCCAGTTTTAGTGCATTTACCTTATATGAAAATGACACTATGTCAAAAACATACATTTGTGACTATGCCAGTTTTATCTTCTCAGACCCGGAAGAGTTAGGGAGTGGAAGCTACGGACCTCCATACATGACTGAGTCTGGAAATGGTGATGATGATGATGGAATTGACATTGATGATTCAGACTCTGACATTTATATCGATGAGGTACATCCATACGTCTCACTCTGGCATTTTGGTTGCTTAACATTTTTAGTGCAGTATTTAAACAAGAACGTCTAAATAGAGATCAAATACAAGTCTATCGACAAATATACACTCTGATGCTATATTAAGTATTCGTTTGCATTTGGCTCAGTCTGAACATTTTCTTCCTTTCCTGATCCTCTGAAGCCTTTGATTTTTTTTTCCAGACACATTTGTTTTCACTGAAACAAACTGAATGAGGGGGAAGAGAGTAATTGCTTCAAAGGGAAGCTGAGCAGAGTTTTCCATGCCACTGAAGTCTGCCTTTTGCATAACTTCTGTTTCATTTATACTGTACTAACTTTATTTCAATCAAAAGTACCTCAAAATTCTCCTCCCCCTTCTAGTAGCTGAAGAAGCTCACCATTAGTAGAGGAAGAAATACATTATTCTTTTTTTCATATTTTTTTAAATTGCAGTAGTGCAGTATGTGGCAGCTACCCAGGCCACCTTTGTCATTAGACAGAATGAGGCGGTAGACTCAGGTGATGGATGCTGTGAGGCAGGAGCAATAGCAAAGCTCTGGAGGCAAGAAAAGTCTGATGTGTGACACCTTAAGCTAGTGTGTTACCTTCAAGTGTAGTAGAGGATACTTTTCTATTGGCACTGTTGAATAGTCATCTCAATTGCTAACCTACCTGGGCTCTAGAGGCAGAAACCTTTGGATTTAATCTTTTGCATCAAAGGCTTTTGTTATTTGCATCAAAGACCATCTTTCTGGGAAATTAGATAGTGCCCATCATTTAAATACAGGTAGTCCTTGACATATAACACTTCATTTAATGAGCGTTCAAAGTTACAACACCACTGAAAAAAGTGGCTTATGACCAGTTTTCACACTTTCACACAGTTGTAGCATCCCCAGGGTCAGGTGATCAAAATTCATATTTTCTGGGCAAGTGGCTCATATTTATGACTGTTGCAGTCTCCCAGAGTCATGTGATCATCTTTGGTGACCTTCTGACAAGAAAAGTCAATGGGGAAGATTCACTTAACAACTGTGTGACTAACTTAACAATGCAGGGATTCATTTAACAACTGTGGCAAGAAAAGTCGTAAAATGGGACAAAATTCACCTAATGTCTTACTTAGCAACAGAAAATTTGGGCTCAATTGTAGTTGTAAGTTGAGGGCTATCTGTATAAAGGAAAGTATGTAAAGAAAAGTGCCTTTCTTTTTTGGGGATAGGGTTTGTAAGAAAAAGAAGACTATCAGAAAAAACGTCTTTTGAAACAATTCAGGTTAGCTTTGCATTCCAAAACATTTGCACTCCAAAGTTAGAGACTGCAGACATCATCCTGATTTCTGCTCTCCCTATTCAGAGAAAATATGAATAGACTGTTATCTTATCTTAATAATCCTGAAGGACAGGCCAAACTTCACAGCCATGGGAGGTGATTCATGGTAGGATAAGAGAGATGCGAGACTGCTTTACACTGAGTGAAAAATAAATGTTCTGTTGGCACTGTCATTTCACAATCTTGGACAAAAATAATTCCTATGCTGCTTGCTATATGAGATGCTTTGAATAGAGATATTATGGCTGAAGATACAGCTTTTTACAGGCATGTGTTTTCCTGAGCTATATCTCTTCAGTCAGATCAATAGATGATTCAAAGTTATTGTGCTTTATAAGAAAAGATATTCCTTTCCTTACTGCTATTCCTTATGTTCCATGGGAATAAAAACTGCAATAACTAGCCTTTTAAGTCACAGTCAGTAGACCACATTGAAGTGCTATCCATCAGTTCTTTAACTGACAGAAATATGTAGCCCAAGTTGCTGAATCCTATTCTGTCACAATAATTACACTGGTAAGTGATACTGTCCTTAAATTTTAATGCAGAAAAAGACAGGAAAGCAGGTGCAGATCTCACAGTTGAATTTTCCTACCCAAGGAGCATTTCTAGCTAGTGAGATAAAAAACCCACCAGTGACCCTTCCTAATGGAAGACAAATGTGGATATATGCCGGGAATGAAATATTTATATACCTGTCAAGTTATCTGATCCAATCTATTTAGATTATTCTGAATATGGGTTTAATGCTCTTCTATGGGTTTAATGCCTCCAAAATAGCCAACTGATAGGCATAAAAAATAAAGTGGCAAAGGATGAACAACAGATGAGAATGGTCATGCTGGTAATGAATTCAGCCCTCTTCTTGCAACACCTACTCGAAATAATAAAAAGGGGGGAAAAAAGGAAAAGTAAAAACCACAACCACATGAAACCATGTGAAATAATGGAAAATATATTCATTGGGGGCAAAACCAGCAATGCATATTTGGTAGAGCCCTGATCTCTTTCCCAGGTTTAACACAGGCCTAATGCTCTCTCAAAAGCCCTGTATTTTTTAAAAAATATTATTTCAAAAGAATGCTAAACTGGTGTACAGTATATGAAGTGTATCTTCATAAGCTTTTGAGAAAACACTGATCAGGCAGATATGTCTATAAAAGCCAAGTGTTTTCTCTCTTCTGCTGTCCCAGCTAAGATAGTTATGAGAGCCAGTGTCCCAGTGATTGGAGGAGAGGCGGTTTAAACTGTGCAGTAAAGATGAGATAAAAGCAATGTCATGAGCCATGTCGTATAAAAATAATTACCAGCACATATTTCAGTTATGGTTAGGAGGATGTGAAGATGAACACTTAATCAGTATCCTGACTCAGATTAAGTAAAGCTTTCTTCTCCTTAAGAGATGGCACAGTAGGACACTCCTATCCTAGAAGTTTTCCAGCAAATCATTCTACTGCTATCATATCAGATTGAGTAATTATTGAATATCATTATCCTACCCGTGATTAACATTTAGCTCTAAGAACTGTAGTATTAAGCTTTGGCCTTACTAAACACATTTCTTAAATAAATTTTTCATTAGCTCAAACCACTTCCTGCTATCAAAGGAGGCAATACAAATTTTTTGGTTGAAACCAACATAATACAAGGATCTAATGCAGAACTCCTTTCTGGGCTGCTTTCACCTACTACATATCCTGTCAGTTCTATGGCAACAACTACATTCCTACCACGTGCTACTATCCCTTCCAGCATTACTGCTAAGGCCATCAGGAGGAACAGCGGGACTTCAGTGGTACGACAATCTGATCAGTCCTGTGATGAAACCATCTGCTCTACCAACAGCTTTTGCATCAATGATTATGAGCGGAGTGGCTCTCGTTGCCATTGCAACCTTGGCAAAGGAGGGGAGAGTTGTTCAGAAGGTTGGTTTACTTGGAAAGCTTTGGTAACTCTCTGTACATTCTGAAGATTTCTTGGTTTAGGACAGATTTGTAGAGCAGCATTTTCATATATTTGATTTGACACTTTAGTGCATTTACAAGCATAGAAGAACCATAACTGGAAGAGACACAGCTGGCTTTTGGGCAGATGGTGAGTTTCACAAAAATCTAGAGGGAACTTAATTCGTATCTACTATCTAGGTTGAGTAAACAGCATACCTTTTGAGAAGCAATATAACTTTAATGACCAGCTGCTTAGGTCAAATAACAAGAATTGGCTTATTTTAATTCTACTTTGATTGTGAGTTTCCTAAGGGCTTCTATTTTAAGAATGTTCAAAGTCAGCATTACAGTTTTGGAGAGTCCCAGACTTGGCTTTGTTTCTGAATTCCCATAACTTTTCCATATATTATCATTTGGCCATGCACTTTTTTCCTTAAAGCAAAGCATTGCACTGAAGCTTTGACATTAGAATGAGGAACACACTGAAGCGGTTGTTATTAAGACCATGCTTAGAACAGAAAGATAGGGAAAAGATGTGATTCTTTAAACTTTTGGAATGAAGGGACCAGTTAGGAAAATTTAAGAAGTTGGCAGTGACTGTTAAAATGTAATTGTAAAAATACAAAGATTATATTGGTCTAATTTTTAAAAATAATTGCTATTTGATGCTTAACTGCTAAGCAATATTTTTGTTATTGATTTTCAGATATTAATATTCAGTATCCTCAATTTTTTGGATATTCCTATATCTCCTTTGAGCCTCTTAAGAATTCCTATCAGACATTCCAAATTACTGTTGAATTTATGGTAAGTGAATGCAGTCTTGAATTTAAAAAGCTTTTGCAAAACCTATGCAACATTTGAACTAACAGCTAAATGAGTCAAAGAAAATCTGTTAATACATTTATACCAAAAGTAAATGTGAGTATCTTGCAGAATACCTCTGTGCCATTCTGTATGAGAGCAACTTAAAATAGTGATATACAGAATGTGCCAAAGTTTTAGCAGAATCAACAAAATGTAGCTAAATCAGAGCATGATTATTACAGAGAAATTATGCAACACAAAAGTAGACAGAATCTGGTTCTTTAAAGCTCATTTGAGTCCTCTATTTGGTACTATATATCACTGGCCCTTTAACACTGGAATAGAAATTGGTAAAAAAAAAACCCATTAAATATAATAAAAAAATCAAGATAGCAATCAAGATGATATGATTGAAGTTTCATCGGTTTTTGTGTCACACATTAAAAATGGGTAGAGCTTCAACTATGTCACGTGCTCTTCTTTTTTTATTGTGTTCTATGAACACCCCTGGCCAAATTGTTCACAAAATCCCATACAATTTTTTCCAAGCAAATGTATTATGCTAGTATGGATCTATATGGAAGAAAATTCTGTTCATTTCATCCTGTAAATATGTTAATTTGGTGGCATTTGCTAGACCTGGCTGAAATTGCTATTAAAAATCATTGATCTTTTTCATGCTCCCTAGTGATTAACCATGTTGATTGGAGATGTTGAAAATGACATATTAGACATCTTCCCATAATGATATGGGAACTTAATATATTACAACGGAATATAGCAACCCTACCCATAGATTATGTACTTTTGGGGGAGTGTAGAAACAGGTGCACTATAGAAAATAGAATATTTGATTTAATATGTAGAAATCTGGGATTTAGATTTTTTTAGAGACTACTGTTTTGTGACTTGTGCTTAGTTGCAAATGCAAAATGATATAACCTCATATTCTGTTTGTTTCACAATAAACGGAAGCAAAATGTATGCAATAGATAAGACAACTATATAGGTTTTGATTTTAATTGGGAGTGACAAATATGTAGGTTATGGAGGTTTTTTTTTAATTAGAGAAAGATAGGACATGAATCTTGAGATAAATCAATCAATCATAGGTATCAGAAATGTCCATGTCTGATGAATCAGAAAGTAGTGAAAGGTACTACGGTATAATGTTCTTCATTATAAGACAATTTGGTGTAGTGGTTAAGGCATTAGGCTAGAAACCTGGAGCCTGTGAGTTCTAGTCCCACTTCTGGCACAAAGCCAGATGGGTGATTTTGGGCCTGTCATTCTCTCAGCCCTAGGAAGAAGGCAATGGAAAATTAGCTCCAATAATCTTGCCAAGAAAACTACAGTGACTAGTTCAGGCAGGCACACAGGGACACAAGTTCTTCCTATCCCGTGCAACTACTTTTGTAAAGAGTAGCAAAGTAGTAAAGTAGAGGTAAAGCTTCACTTAGAACAGTATCAAATGAAGACCATGCAAGTAGTTCTTATTTAGTGACCACAATTGGGACCAGCAACTTGGTCATTAAATAAAGTGGTTCCTAAGTGAAACTGTGACTGTGCTTACTCTGATTCTCTCTTAGTCATAGGAAGTAGGCAATGGCAGAGACTAATCCAGGAGTCAAAAACTGACTCAAAAGTATACACACATAAACTGCCACCTTTGATCCTGGGGTATTTATGGCAATCAAGACTGACAGTCCAGTCCATGAGTTTGTCTGGTTCTCTTTTAAAAACAATCTATACTGGTGATCATCACTCCATCTGATAACAGTTAATTCCATCTTTTGTGCAGGAACTTCTGCCCCAATTCTTGTTATGGTTTTAAAACACTACATTTAATTTGAGTCCATGACCCTAAGTTCTAAATGATGAAAGTAGGGGAACATTTCTTTGTCTGCATTTTTCACATGATGCATAACTTTAGTCATATTATTTTATTTGTTCAGATCTAAAGACTTCCACTCCATGCTACAATCCCTTTAAAAGAGAACTGTCCCCTTTTTCATATGCTTTTTTCTACACCTTTTCTAGCTTTACAATATACAATGGTACCTTGGTACTCATTGTTAATTGGTTCTGGGAGGCATGATGAGTACCAAAAATGTCAAGCACCAAACAAATTTTCTTCTTCAGAAATAATGTATTAGTCACAAGGCAACCAACATCAACAAGTTCTAGCTTGCGCATCGAATATCAAACAAATGATTAGTATTGAGACAAAAGGTTTACGTCAAAATGTGTTGAGTATCAAATTTGACAAGTTTCAAAGCAGTCCAGTACCAAGGTACCACTGTATTTCTGGAGAGACAATTACTTTTAGATTTTCCTTGCTTTTGCATTCCTAGGCAGTAGCAGAGGATGGTTTGCTTCTCTATTGTGGAGAGAATGAGCATGGTCGTGGTGATTTCATGTCACTGGCAATCATCAGGCAAAGAGTTCAGTTCAGGTAAGCAACAAACAAAAATAGCTATAGGATCTCTTTATCCTTTCCACCTTGTTCACTTAAAAATAAGTGGTGATAAGCACATGATTATAATAATGTGCTCTGTCAAAGTCAGGGGATCAGGAGACCATAACTTCTTCTTCTTCTTCCTTGTCGATCAACTTGTTGACAGCTTCTTTTCATATATAAAGTACTGGAATTATTATTATAGTGTTAGTTCTTATCAGGGAGTTGGGAGTATTCCCTTGCTGCATTGTGCCATCAGCAAGGCAGACTCTGTGAATCTTCAAATCATTTCAGGAAGTTGATAGTTTCTTATTTATATAATTGACATTTTCTATTTTATGTCTACAATTAGAGGATTAAAAATCCCTGAAGTCCTTTTGTCAAAGAAAAGAATTAAGAAAGACCTTTCCTTTTGCTCACAGTAAAAGAAACATAAAAGGACAGATTAAAATAAGGATTGCTAGAACATTTTTTAAAATGCCAGATTCTGTAGCAGTGCTAAGGCTATGAAAATATGGAATTTTTAATACTTAAGGGCAAGACTAGTTAATATTTTGTTAATATAGTACAGGGTGAAAAATTAAAAATGCCAAGGGTTTTCAGAATTTTTGTGTGAGTTTTCAGTGTAAGGTCATGAAATCTCAAAATTTGGCAATCTTTTTTTTTCTCTTTGAGTATATGGTAGGTTTGGTAAATACTGTGTTTCTGACTTCAAATTATTATATTTAAAGACTTTTCTGTTTAATAGAAAAATATTAATACATGTCAAATGACTATGCAATCTTTGATCATAGAGAAAGTCATTATGAAAGTCTGTAAAAAAATCCCCTGAAATTTAGGTTCCCAGGTATCCAGGCTTGATTATCTCACATTATCCTATATTGGTTTCAGGTTCAACTGTGGAACTGGAATTGCAACAATAACAAGCAAGGACAAAATTAAACTGGGCAGTTGGCACAATGTGACTGTATTTAGAGATGGAATAGATGGATGGCTTAGTTTGGATAACAGTCCACAAGTTCCTGGTAAATCTCAGGTGAGTTACTAGTGATAAAAAATTCTTAAGTAAAAAAAAAGAATTCTCAAAATCAGGGGTTGTAAACCACTGGACACATTACACATTTCCTTAACTTCAATTTGGAGATGCTTTAATCATTCTTTAAGGACAAATCTCCATGTTACAACCTTTCTCTCCTTGGCTAATATTGACTTTCTTGGGTGTCGTGTAAAAATGGTATTTTCCATCTTCTCTAACCCTAACCCTAACCCTAACCCTTTTTTAATGATTCATACCATAATGCTTTACTTATTCTTGCTCTCTTACCTCCATTACAATACATGTCCAGCAATCTCTGTATTTCCTTTAATTCTTGATCTGAAAACTTAATTGGGATCATCCAAAACAAAAAAATAATTTTTGGTAAAACTTTTATTTTTATTGCTGCAATTCTTCCGAACCATGATAATTTTACTTTTCCATATTTATCCATTTTATCTATCTTTCTTTAACTTCTCATAATTTATCTTCTTTAATTCTTGAATATTTTTGGGGATGTCAGTACCTAAATATTTGATACTATCTACTATTTTTAATTTATATTTTTCTTTTAATACATCCATTTCTTCTTTACTGTGGTTATATAACATCATTTCTGATTTTTCCCAGTTTATTTGCAATCCACTATATTTCCCAAATCCATTCATCTTCGGCACCAATATCCTTTAAAATTGTTATAATATTCTGCGCCTAGTCCATCTAACCCTGGGGCTTTACCTATTTTCAATTTATTAATAACTTCCAGTATCTCCTCCTCTTCTATTTTTGATTCCATTATTTCGTTATCATATTCTCGAATTTTACTGTTTAAATTGTTTTCTATATATGCCTGACTTTCATTCACATTTATTTCCTTTCCCTTATATAACTTTTCAAAGAGTTTCTTTGAGAAACAATTTTTCTCTCATCATGTTACATCTTTCTCCCTTTTCATCTATTTCTATTAATAAATTTTCTTAAATCTGTATTATTATACTTTATTTCCGCTTTTGATGGATTAGATTTATCAATTCCTGTATCCATAACCATATTATAATCACCTGCCATTATCATATAACTTTTTTTATTTCTTCTGTTTCTTTATATGCCCTATTATAAAACTCTCTTTGATTTGTATTAGGTGCATAAATCCATAAATCAAGCCTTGAATTATAAGAAATCTTCCCATATCATCTCTTTTTATGTCTTTTATCTTAAATTCACATCTTTTAGCTACCATGATTGCTACCCCTCTTGATTTTGATGTACCAAATGCCTTTTCATATACGTCAGTCCAATATAACCTAAGTTCATTCACCCCTTCTTTCTTTTGATGTGTTTCTTGTAAAAATACAATATCTATTTTGTCTTTGTTAATTGATTTTTCAGTTCTTGCTTGTTTATATTTTTTCCCCCAAGCCATGTATATTCCATATAGCTACCTTCAACGATTTCCCCATCTATTCCTTATATTACATATTCCCTTTGGTCTCCATATGTGCTCTAACATAAATCTTACAAAACTAAAACTACAAAGTAAACATATTGTCCCAAAACATAAATAACCTCTTACGCATCCATATACCGTATTTTCCGGCGTATAAGTCGACTGGGCGTATAAGACGACCCCCAACTTTTCCAGTTAAAATATAGAGTTTGAGCGAGAGGGGGGGGGGAGAGAAAACTTGATGAGTAATATGCCAAACCACATGTGTAAAGGAATAAAATAGAATACCCGTATTTTCTGGCGTATAAGACGACTGGGCATATAAGACCACCCCCGACTTTTGAGAAGATTTTCAGGGTTTAGAAAGTCGTCTTGTACACTGGAAAATATGGTACATATATATTGTCCCCCTTCTCTTCTTCAGGAGATCTTCCTCCTCTCCGCCACTTCAGGCCTCCGGGGGGGGAGAGAGGAGCTATCCCTACATGGACTTCGGTCGCCCACTCCACCTCCCTTGACCATCTTTACCCTTAATTTCTACACCCAAACATATATTGTAACTTTACAAATACTTATATACTATCTCTACAACGAACTTGTAACTCTTGTTGCTTCATCCAGCTTCCCTTTCTCCTGTAGATCTTCTTTATTGATGATTCCATGCTCCCTTAATTTCTCCATTGCCTCCTCCTTTGTTTCAACTCTGTAAAATCTTCCACTGTAAGAAAATCTCAAAAAACCTGGATATCCCCAGCTGTAGTTACTGTTATTTTTCTTCAATATTTGACAAACCTGGTGCATCTCTCTCCTCCATTGTAAAGTCTCATTGCATCAATCTGGAAAAACTTGTATCTGATGCCCCCCAAACATTATAGACGACATGTTTCACAATTTACGCATCAATTGCTCTTTTTTTGAGTATGACCAGAGTCACACCACAATATCTCTTGGCAATTTTCTTCCCAACCTTTTCCGGCCAATTCTATGTATTGCATCAATATCATATCTTGTAAAGGGGACATCTGGGAGGATCAAGGTAGCCCAATCCAGTACTGCTTGAATCAATTTTGCTTCATTTTCTTCACTTTTCTCCGGGTATCCACGTATACGTAAATTTGATCAGCGCTGACGATCACATATCTCAATCCAATACTTTTTCACTTGATGCATCATAGTTGTCTGGCTTTTTAACATCTTATCATGTTCTCTCATCTGAGTCTTCACTTCTGTGATATTTCGTGTCATATCCTGACTTTGTTTCGCCAGATCTGTTATTCTTACATCCATATTATCCATTTTATCTTTTATTTGCTTCAAATCCTCCTTTATATTTGTCTTCATTTCTTTTATATTTATCTTCATTTCTCTTAACTCTTGTAAGAGAATATCAAGTTTATCTGGTTGAGTCAGTGACTTCTCAGGCGATTTTTGCCTCACATCCATTTCTAAGGCTTTTTCCACTCGAATCAGACGTAAATCTGAAGGTCTAAGGCCTGCTTTGGGTCTTTGCCAAACACTTTGGCTGTGTTTTGACATCCAACCACCAAAAATAGCTTTTGACCTTCTAAGAATTTATACACAGTCTATAGTCCATACACGTCACTTCCTCCCTTTATCTGGTCCTTATCAACTTATCTCTGTGAAAACAACATGATGAAAATAAATAAATCCAAAGTCAGCAACTATCTTTATTACACATGCCTAATCAAGGCTCTGTCTTAAAGGTATTTAATATTTTCACTTTCTCCAGATCTCAACACTTCAACTGAAAGGAGGGAATAATGGGCCTTCACACTATACACTTATAAATCAGCTATTATATTTTCAGCTCCTTTAAACTCTCTCCAAATTCTTTCTCCTATCAGTCTTCAATCATAGAGCCCCTCCTCTCCCCATCAGCCTTCAAAAACCTCTCAAGTCTCTTAGCCAAATTCAAAGCTTCTCTGGAAGAATGTCCAAATCCAAATCAAATACAATCCAAACTTCAGGAGGAAAGCAAGGGAAGTAACTCACGTTTCATCATCTCTTAAATTTTCATAGTGTTTAATTGGGTGTTATATTTCTTAATCAATTCTCTGCAATGGTCCGGAGGAGGCAGAAATTCAGCTTCCGTCATCCATCCAAGCTAGCTCCGCCCACAGAGCAAATGTATTCTTATTGCCTGGAGCAAATCACATTAAACCATCAGAGGGCCAACTGTATATTTAGGAAACCAGAACTTAATTTAAACTGTCACTGGCTTGTACTATCCCTAGTATCGTTTACATAATCTCTCCCTTTCCTTCCCTTGTTTTCCAGATGTCACTAGGCAAAAACTCTAGACTAGTGCTTTTGCTTTGTCACTTGGGAATAAAATATATCTTAAAAAATCTCAGAATCATTAGCCAGTGCTTCCCAGTCAGTTAAGGAGGAGTACATCTGTTAAGTATTTTGAACAAGGAAAAACTTATAGCAGTACCAGCTTCCAATGTTTAACCAGCCAACTGCCCAGAGAGCTGAGATGGCCATTTGTGATCATGCATTTAGGAGGATAAGGGTGATGATGGAAGTACAAAATAATATTAGACAGAGTAACTTTATATCAGAATACATCAGTTTTCTTTTCTTTTTTAAAGTTTTATTAATTTTTAAAAATTACAGTCTTTAGTGCTTAGTAAACAACATGTTGTCTGGGTTCAATTATTTAGCATTAATCTTTTCAATATAAATCTGTTCAATACTACACAATCCAGTATTTTTTCCCAAATCCTCCTTTCTTCATATTTTTTTTCATTTTCCCTTCATTACCATTACAATTTTTGGTACTGTTAACGTATACAAAGTTAGATATAAGCATCTTCATCATATTTTACTAATATCATACAAATAACAATAATATCAATTCATAAATCAATGTCAATTCATTAATCAATATCCTGTTTTTCGTGCTCTTGTTAAAGTTTGATTTCCCATCAGTATTTGAAATATCTTTTATCAGTTATGATTTTTCTCACTATTAATTACACGTTTCCTGTCTATCTTCTGCTTCTAGGGTCAATATAGCAAAATTACTTTTCGGACTCCTTTCTATCTTGGCGGTGCTCCCACAGCCTATTGGCTTGTAAAGTCAGTAGGAATCAATCATGGCTTCCAAGGGTGTGTTCAATTATTCATTATTAATGGCAAGCCCATTGACATGAGGCCCTGGCCTCTGGGAAGAAGCCTTAGTGGGGCAGATGTTGGTAAGTTTAACGTAGTTACCATTAAGTCATTTATCTCATCCATAAAACCCAACTTATCCAGTCTAATAATGATATTGCATTGACCTTGTTCTATATTATAGGTTTGTTTTAATTTATTTATTTGTTAGATTTAGGTTCCACCTTTCCTCCAACAGTAATAAGTAGTATATATATAATTTCTTCCTTCACTATTTCCCACAACAATCCTGTGACGTAGACTGGCCCAAAAGGGGTGGAGGCCAGGAAAAACTGTTTACCAGTTGCTGTTCTAGCCTTGTGGAATGGACTACCCAGAGAAATTAAGACTTGCTCTATCCTGTTTAAAATTCTGGAACCTGCCAGAGTTTTCTACAGAGTTGGTTGAAGACTTTATTGTTGTCCTTAATTTATTTCACTTTGAATTACTTAGATGGATTGATTAATATTATTTTATTTGAACTTTTAATTAATTTTTCATTACTTTATGAATATTATAATTTATCATATTTTTGTAACATTGATTGGTTATTGGTCATTTTAATTTAATTTGCTTATATTTACCATAGATAATTTTATTGATTATTTTGTAAATGACTGTGTTTTACAAGTAGAATGAATAAATATGTCAGTCAATCAATCAATATCACATATTGAGCTTCTATAGTTGTAGATAGACTAATCTGAATATCCCAGTACTTATTCAACACTTTAACTACTACACTATAACTTTCTTAAGTTAGATCCCAATATAACAACATTTAAAGTAGTTTAATAGGATAATTTAGTGAATCAACTCTAAATGTGACTGAATCTAGATCTAACCCAGAATAATGACCTTGGAGTAATGAGTTTTCTTAGAAATATAATTCTCTGTACTGTTTGTTTATTTGTTTAGGTACAAATAGTCCAAGTTTAATGATCATTCATTCAGCAACTGTTCAACATCATGACTGCACTGAATGAATGGTGGTTATGGTCCTTGAAGTTAAGGCTGATGCAGCATCCTTGCAGTCACATCATCAAAATCCAGGCACTTGGCAGCCTGCCCACATTTAAGATTGCAGGGTACCCTTCAAGTCTCTCAAACACCTACAGTATCTTTCTCCCATCTCTGACCTTTTAGCATTCCTTCCCTCTGATGCCCTTGCCACCTCGCCCTCCATCATTCCTGCCACCTCCATTGCTCTGCATGTCATGGCCTTCACAAAGCATCCCCAGGCTGGACTTGCTTCACAAGCAGTGGGAAGACAGCACTGTCCACTCATTCAGCAACTATTTGAGATTACAGCACTGAATGAGAGGGACTTATGATAAGTCCTCACAGTTGCAGCTGCTGTACATCCCCATGATCATGTGATTGTGATTCAGGCACTTGGCAACGGGCTCACAGTTACGACATTGCAGCATCCTGCAGTCATGTGATTACACTGCTGGCTTCTGAAAGCAAAGTTAATGGGGAAGTTGGCAGGAAGTCACAAATGGTGATCACATGATCACACAAGGCTGGGACTACAAAGATTTTGCCTAACAATAGCAACTGGGGTTGCCAGAACTGCCGTCATAGGTTTATGTGGTCACATGACATTGTGTTTTACAAATGCATCACTTAGTAAAGGAGTTCCTAGTTCCAATTACCCTTAGCTGGGACTGTCTGTATAAAGTCATATGCAAGCCAGGTTCCTTTGTTCACTCCCATCATGCCTTCTTTCCATGGGCTATGTAGAACAATCAGCTTGTAACTGCTCTCAAACCGGGTAGGGAAGGAATGTACCAAATTTCCATGCGGAGGGAGTGAAAAAAATGGGAGGTCCTATCAGATGATAATGCCTTATATATGGGATCTAGAGGAAGTTAAGCCTATTAAATCAGCCTGGGCAGGCAAATAAATATAGGAGAAGCTGGCCCCTCAGAAAACCTGGTCCAGAGCCATCTAATGTCTTACAAGTAACAAGCAATCTTGAATCACAGTTACTTGCAAATCCATCTAAGCCATTGAATTTGTGTAGAAATTATAGATGACATTCTAGGAACAATCTAAAGGATTGTCCCTGTCCCTGTGGTGTACCAATGATAGAAATAGATACAAAGTCAATTTTCAGGTCTAGTATAACTTAGAGAAGAGGTCATCCTTTTTTCTTTTTATAACATCTATCAAAAGAGGGCAGTAACTGCAATCAACCACATTCAGAGTTGTTGAACTCTCCCCTGGATAGAAATACCAGGTACCTGTGGGATATTAAAAAAGCTAATAAATTGACCTAGAAAGCAGGCACTGAAGAAAATAAGGTCTTGGGGAAGCCTACTGTGCAATTTCACGATAGAGTGAGAAGCTATAGAATACTACAAGACTTGAAACTTACAAGAAATTCTCTCTGATCTGCACTGCTTGTTGGCTGCCTTTACCACACAGCTTATCAAAACCCACCATATTAAAATCCTAGTAGTATATTCATGTAAAATGCAACATTTAAAAGAGAAGATGTTTGTTTAGGTTAATTTGTGATGTTGAGTTGAATGTTAAGCATCAAACTGTAACCAGATTAATAACAAGGACAACCCAAATTTTAGAAACTTAACATTTTCAAATCTGTGGTTCTGTTCCTTCTACCCAACTGTGAAACTACTTCCCACTTCATAGGAAATGTTTAGGGCTGTGTAGGTTATTTTTCAAATGCAAGCAGTTTTTAGTTCCCTTTTCCCAACTGTCCTTGTATGTAGGATATCTTTGGTAAATCTATGCTTTATGTTGCCTTGTTTTGAATATGAAAAGGATAACACTGATTGAATGAACAGACGGGAGCAGAAGTGATCCAGTCGATAACATCTACTTCAGAATGTCTTTGATTGGATGAATGGGTTTTTATTCCTGAGGCTTGAGAACTCCATTTGATGTTTCCTTTTCAACATATGATCAAGGCTATATTTCATTTTATAGGATTTGTTGCTTTGTGGCATTTATATCAAGTTGGCTCATCAATCTTTTGTGGAAAGGTGTCTTGGTTTTCATAAGTAAAAAAAGTCAAGGTATTTTATTTGCAATGCTATACTGTACATTCTTACACAAAGTAAGACATACTGAATTTACTTGGACTTACTTCCAAATAAACATATTAAATGTAAGGTGTTTTGGAGGCACGTGGTATGGATGTTAGACTCAGTTAATCCACAGTACCAGTAGTTCCTGCTGTTTTCTGTGGAATCTGTGAATTATAGGAAATTCCCCTGGTTTCTGATGAATCCATTGTTTGATTTTCTCATTTGGATTCGGGATTACAGTAGGTAGTTCTACTTTATTTTCTTGTTCATTGTCCCATCTGTCTGACAGGGTTTTTTTCCTCTGTTCTATTTGGTACATGCCCATCTTTGCACCTTATTTTGTACTTTTTTGCACCTTTTTTTTTTAAAAAAAGAGTTCCATTTGATGTACTTGACCACTAAATCATTTCAACAGATCTAGTGTTTTAAGACATCCTGTCTCTAGATATTTGGGAATCACTATCTTCTCATATCCAACCAATAATTTTAGAACCTAGAAAATTCTGGGATCAGGGCATTGTTCAAGAGAGTCCACATTTTGGGTGGAGTTTATGAAATCAAATTTTCACAGGAATCTTCCCTGTATATGGTGCCTGTATATCTTCTGGTTGTGAAGATTTAAAAGAGAGGAACATAATATTCTTTATAGAACATAAGAGCTTAGCATGCAGTTTCTTGTTCAGTTGGTAGATTGATAGATTGTGAATCATACAAATATTGTGGCTTGTATAGTATGCTTGTTGAATATTCATTAGCCAGAAAATGAATATAGCACTCATATTTACATTCTGAACTGGAGGGTTTCTGGCAAAAACCACTGATGAGGGGTAGTATTAGAAAAAAAATTTTTTTAATTATTTCCTACATGGCGACCTTATGGGATATCAGTGCAAGGGTGCCATCCCGTATTTTCAGCTGATTCATTTTGGAATCGTTTGAAGGCAATATTGCTAAGACTATCCTTCCTTAGGAGGAAAATAGTGCCAAATTCTACTCTGTGCCTTGATAAAAGCTGTTGTTGTAATCTTGTAATGCTGTCCCTGCCATCTAAGAAAGAATCAGTGAATTCTGTCATTGATTAGATTTAAAGTTACTAAGAATTCCCAGGGTGACAAACTGAAATCCTGTATAATAGGATTGTAGTCTTTGTTCAGCGACCACTTATTCAACAACCACTCAAAGTTACAACAACATCGAATGAGGGAACTTACAACTCATGGTTGTGGCTGTTGCAGCATCCCCATGATCATGTGATTGCAAATTGGACAAACCATGGAAACTTGTTTGTAATTATGACAGTCATAGCATCCCACAACAACGTTATTCACATTTACAACCTCCACTGCCACCTTCTGACACACAATGCCAAAGGGGAACCTGGCAGGAGGTTGCAAATGGCAGAAATGTGATTTCAAGCTGCTGTGGCTGTGATTTATCTAACAAAGCAACCGGAACTGCCAAAATTGCTACTGTAAATCAGCATTTCATTTTACGATCATGTTGCTTAGTGATGGAGTTCCCAGTCCCAATTACCATCATTAAGTAAGGACTGCCTGCATAGAATTCCTTGGTTTTGTGTCTGTATATGTGTGTGTGTGTTATGTGTTGGCTAGAGAATTACTCCTCTAAGAAATTCAACTCAGATTTAGGTAAGATCTGATTTGGAGATCACATATTAGGGAGTATGAACTTGATTGCTGTTATGTGTGGATGCAGACAATTCCTTAGGTCTGGGGTCCCCAACCCCTGGGCCTTGGCTGCTACTGGGTCATGGCCCATTTGGAACTGGGCTGTGTGAGTGGCGGGCCAGTGCATGCGGACGCAGTTAAACTTGCAAGAGCAATAGGCCATCGCAGTTCAACTTGCATGAGCGATGGGCAGGTTCCCCTCTCGCCCCCACTGGACCCCCAAGCCATAAAGGTTGGGGACTATTGCCTTAGGTAATCAGAAATATAGAGTTCCTCTTTGTCTAGCTGATACAATAGAGAAATAGTCCCCTTCTCTTCCCATTGCAAAGAGCGTCATGTCTTCTCAGTGTTTTTTTAATTTTTGACTGATTGATTGACTCATTGACAAGCATATTCTTATGCTCCTGGCATACCAACCTTGATGTATGCCCATGTCTAGTGCCTGAGTGCATAAAAGATACCCTTTCCTGGTTCGGTTAACACTGGGTTAACTGACTGAATAACTCTTGACTGCTCTTTGTATTTAATTCCTTTTTGTGTTATGTTTTAACTGTTTTAATTGTTTTTATAATTGGTCACCACCCAGAATCACTGGTTTAAAATGGGCCACTATACAAATTGAATGAATGAATGAATGCTGAAAATTAATGACAACATCAGGTAAAATAATAAAACAAGGACAATCAAGGAGCATAAACTAAAGTTCACAAACATCCATTATAGAGATAAAGTGCTAAGAAGAAAGGGATGATAGCTTCTCAAAACAGTTTATAGGCTTCTCTTGAAGTTGGCCATCAAGAGCGAGGTCCAGCCACACCTCAGTGGGGAGAGAATTTCACAATAATTGGCAAATATATATTATTCTAAATCAAAATGGCTCTAAATTACACCTGTTCTTCCTGTGCTTATTTAACAGCCTGTTCTGTCCCATTTCTTCATTAAATGGAGAACTTTTTCTCTCTTTCAAACGCATATTTAGGGAAAAATCTATTAAAGAATTATAAATGTGTTTTTCTCTCAGAGTATATATTTGTATAATTTTTTTTGTTAATATGATTCTGAGCCAATAGCTACATCATAGCATTTCTGATATATATTATTTCAGGAAACAGATCAGTTGTATAAATATTTGGAAGGGCTATGAACAACTGGAAAATCTGTCATTCAATCTCTTGATGGCCTTTATTTCATTAAAGTAGCTCTCACCCATTGTTTAGGGATAATGGGAGAGATATTGCTGCGGGTTACTTGGTCACTTCTTTTTGTTGGGTGCACAAATTTAAAAAAACACATATTAGGGAGAAAAATTAATTTTACTCTATCATTTGCTATGCCAAATGTAGTCAGGATTCTGTAATGCCCACAAGACAAATCAATAATACTGTAAATGTTATGTGTCGTTGAGTTAGTATTGACTTCTGGCATCTACCTGATCAAAACCCTGTAGTTTCATTTTGGAAGTGATTTGCCGTTGTCTCCATCTTAGGGCTGAGGGACAGTGAGTGGCCAAAGGTCTACCAGCCAGCTTTGTGCCTGTGGCAAGATTAGAGCTCACAATCTCTCAACTCTACTGGCTCTCATAATTGTGAGATCACTGTGTTGAATGTAGAGTATTCCAGAGAACTGTTTGGCAAAGCCTGCTAATGTAAGTGAAGCAGTGCATTAAAGTAGCTTCTAAAACATGCAGCTAATCCCAGTTTATTATTTGTGTGCTTACACCTGCAAAATGCCAGCAGGAATTGCACAGTGAAGTGTTTGGTATATGCACTCACAGAGACTCCAAGACAATTTTCAATGCAGATCCATAGGCATTTCAAAGGAGTGTCCTGCTGAATGTTTTGCAGGGCATTGGAAATCTAATAATTCATCAGTGGATATAAAGTAAACTTGAAATGTCTGCATGATTTTTTCCACAATCAATTTCTTCAACTTCTTCCTCCAAGTATAGTAAAAGATTAGGTTTGCTATGCTAGACATGGTCTCTTGAGTGTACACATTAAGCCACATTATCCTGTATTACACTAACTCTTTAATGTCTGAAATGGTGACATTTAAATGCACTTCAGAACTGAGAGAGAGTCAAATCTGCCAGCATCGACAATTGCCACTTTCCCATTAGATAACAAGATAATGACTATGCTGATTATAGAAGATGTTCTATGCATTTACTTAATTTACTCAATTTGTAAAGCTGGCCACCTGTAGGTAACTCTGGGCAACTAACTACTAGCAGGAAAACAACCACAGGAATAGAAATAGAAAGAACACATATAAACGCCTATATTGCAGGAATCTCAACATACTTCACATAGATTAACACATATTGATGCTTATGCAGTACCTTGGTCCATTGCTAGAGGGAAAGGGCAGATCTTCAGGGCTTTCTAAAGGCCATAAGAATAAGTGTCATGCAGGAAAGGGGATGCTGTTCCACAGGTAGATGCACTGTTTATTATAGCAGGGGCCATGTGACTTGCAGGAACATCTATCTCCAATGGTTTCTGCTTGTCCCACTAGATCTGGCAGATTGGGCATGTTTAGGGTCCCCAGAGTGAAGCAGTGTCATCTAATGAGTCTGAGGAAACATTTTCTTCTCTCTCATGACACTTTCATTATGGAACAGTTCATTTCAGAGATATTTATTTATTTATTTTATTTTATTATTATTCGAATTTATATCCCGCCCTTCTCCTTGCGGACATATGGATGGACATGACCCTGTTAGCCTTCTGGAAGATTATGAAGACCTGGCTTCTCTTCCTTCCCCAGACACTGGGACCAGGATGTTAATAGAGCATTGGCACGAGCACAGGCAATATGTTGGTACAGATATTTTTATAGGGAATATGACATAATTTTTCCTTTTATTTGGATAATTGTATTTTTAAACAATTCTTAGTTCACCACCCAGAGTACTATAAGATGGACAGCCATGTGAATTTGCTCAATAAGTAATAAACAAAATCATACTAATCCCATCTGATCTTTTGGAGTGCACAGGTATAATTAGAGATAGGAGGTTGGAGCTTTGTAGATTACAACAACTTGAAATATACCGATAACCATACTATACTTTGGCAATATGGATTATCTGCCATGCAGATAGAATATTTAACAAGTTGCATTGCTGCTAATAAGTTGAGATCCTGCTGCTTAGCACCTCTTAGTGTAGGTTCTATCAAACATAGAAAAAATAAGACAACTGAAGTTAAATGGCACTTAATCTGAAGATTGGAGTAGGCTGTCTAAAAGAACAAGAAAGAAGTTAATGAAGAGTATAAAATCTGGCAAGCAGTCATTTGTAGAAAAATGTTGCAATTATTGCTTCATTGCTATCATTTTGTGAAACCTTTTGCAGCCTGGAATTTAGTCTCTTAATTGGTTTAAGTGTTACCTGGAAGGCGACACATTTATATGTCTACTCTGATGTTTGTATAGGGAACAAGAAATTATAATGGAAAACAAAAAGCTTTATTGAACTCTTGAGATAGTGCACACTTGTCCATTCAATCAACAGAAAGTGGCACTTATCACATATAACCTGACTTACTTGAATGATAAGTCACTGCTTTATGCTTTTTCCCTGCTTTAGGTGAATGTAGTAGTGGGATTTGTGATGAAGCTTCTTGCATTAATGGTGGTACCTGCACGGCCAGCAAAGCAGATCAATACATCTGCCTTTGCCCACTTGGATTTAAAGGCCGCCACTGTGAAGAAGGTGAGCAGATATCTATGTCATCTAGAAATAGAGTTGTACTCTAGAATTTCTACAGGGCACCTGATTCAGGAAGACACACATTTTAATTCATACTTACAGAATTTCTGTTACATATCAGTGATTCTGTGGCTTCCACAAATAATATCCTATTGCTGAATTGGATACTGGTTCAAAGGATCCTTAGAACCCTACGATTCTAAATGAGAGTGAAGAAAACGTTTCTGCCTACGATTCTAAATGAGAGTGAAGTCCAACTGTTTCTGCCAAAATCTTCTCCTGGCTCTGAAGAAGCAGAGGATGGGTGTGGGGAAGAATGGAAGGCCAAATTTTGCTCTAGCTTATTTGAGATTTGTCAGACAGCCCAAGACTATGTTTTAGCAACACGTGTGAAGTTCTCTAGTGGATTCTTTGTTCCTTCTCCATTATTGTAAACTTCATTCCAGGAATGAAAACAAATATATGTGTCCCAGGATAACGTTGCAGGATTCAATCTGGATCAGTTACCAGAGGTTTGGTCTTCTGAGCTTTTGGACTCGTGCTGGAACCCACATTCTGGTGAGAGAGAAGTTCTCTGAGGATGGGTTCCAGCATGAGTCTGAAAGCTCAGAAGACTAAACCTCTGGTAATCGACCCAGATTGGATCCTGCAACTTCCTTCCATCTTGTTTCTGTCAGCTCCTCCTATTGTGGTTAGATAGTGACAAAAGCCATATCAATTATAGTGATCACAAGGTAGGGAAGTCCTGGTTTCATTCATAACCGTGCACAGTATCTTTTTTGTTGTACATTACTTTATAGTAAAGGCAATGAATACATAAAATAATCTTCTGAAATATTTGACTAGCTTGATCATGGACTTACACAACTGCTGTTTCCTGTTAAAATGCCATAGATATTTAAACATTTTATCACTGTAGCATAGACATTTGGAGCAAACCAATGTTACATCAAAATGATAACCTGTGCGATGATATCATAAGGCAAATTTATTTATTTATTTATTTATTATTTATCTTGTTGATACATATCTGCATCCCAAACTATGAGGCACATACCTAATATTTCTTCACTTCTCTTCCACCACAGCAAGTGCCCATGTCCTAACAATTAATTAGTAGTTTTCTGTGAATAAATCAAGCTACAAAGGGTTCTTTTTTAATAACTAGATTTGAGACTGACAGCTAAGGCAGTAAATGAAGAGGTTGCTAAGTGAAACAACCACTGTGCTTAAGATCTTACTTCAGCTTTTCCTTTGCTTTACCAACCGTGGATGTGAGGATTAATTGTAAAGCTACTTGTAAAAATTTGGCACAAAAGTCTTCACTGTGATTGGTTGCTAAACAAGGCAGTCACTAAGTTTGTTGTTTGTTGTTAAACATCCATAATGTATTTTACATGATATAGTCTCTAGTACTAATTTCTGCAATGAAATGTTAATTTTTTTTACCATAAAGAGATGGAAGTTATAAATGGTAATTTTAAGGATTAATATGCTTTTATTTGCTTGGGTCTTTCAGTTTTCACCCTCACCATACCTCAGTTCAATGAAACATTGAAATCTTTTGCTGTTACTCCCTGGCCATTAGAACCAGTCAGCTATCTTTCTTTCATGGAATTTGAGATCATATTTCGTCCAGATGTGGCAAATGGTGTCCTGTTGTACAGTTACGATACAGGCAGCAAAGACTTCCTGTCCATTTGCATTGTGGACAGCTATGTGGAATTCAGGTTTGACTGCGGCTCAGGAACTGCTATTATCAGGTAAACATATTTTTTTTAAAGTATTTATCCATGGCATTCTTTATTTCAATTCTTTCCCATAAGGATCATCCAAAACAGTAGGTAATTAAAGTGAGAAATTTGCAATTTGATGAAAACCAAAACCAAATGTTACTAAGGTTGACATATTATGAATCAAGTTTTCATAATTTGTTTCATAAATGATTAATAGTTTTGTGGCACCCTTAATGGCTTATGGAGTGATCTGCAATCTAAATAATTTTCCGTGATCATAGAATTAAACATGGCTAGTCAGAAAAGAAAAAGAATCATACTGATTTCAGTGGGATTCACACACAGGAAAATGGCATGAATAGTAACCTAATTAATGAAAGCAGAAAGCATCCAGCAATTAGGACTTGCGTTATAAGCAGGATATAACATGCATGTTTTTTCCTATTAGTCAAGGTCTGTATTACATATTGATCCAGTGTGATGATTACCCTAATATCTATTGATTTACCCAGGATAATTAAACTCTTCACTGTTCTTACAAACATGAGGGAAAGGGCATGAGTAGATAATTTGGAAAAGAGGCAGCAAAGAAATTTTTGGGTTTATTGTTTTCTCAGCATTTTAAAAAGGTATTTATACTTGGAGAAATGTTAAGAGTTCATCAGTGATAAAAAGGAAAGCATGAAAGGTATTTAAAATTTAAATTTATGTATTGTTAGAATTGACATGACATTTCTGCCTCTTCTATAAAAAATTACTAAATTTAACATGTCTGGGGGGGATTCAATTTACATCTATCTATTATATATTGGCTGTTTTTCTCTTCACAGATTAGTGACAGTTTATAAGGATTACCTTCATACTTTTCACATTCCTCCTGTGGGATGCCTCACACATCAATTGCGAATATCAGTCCTTTCTCAATGCCTTTCATAATTAGAATTGTGCAGTGATTGGATATCCTTAGAGAATATCACATAGATAAAAAGCCCTGATACTGATTTAAATAAAACAAGTAATTTAAAATAGCTGTCACAATCCACCCATTTTAAGAGATCCTTCATAGCAGAGCTATTTTACTCTTTCCATGTTCTTTGCCTTAGTTTTTAAGTGGTGTATAATTTAGTTAAGGATGGATGAAATTTATTTTACTTTCATCAAGTTAGTATTTTTTTTTGAGGTACAAGTTTATTTCACTTTGTTTTCTGGAGTCCACATAGGTAAACCTTCTGTGTAAATCAGGGATGGGGAAACGATGGTCCTTTTATGACTTGTGGACTTAAACTCCCATGGCTGGGACTTCAACTTCAACATGGCTGGCTCAAGAATTCTGGGAGTTGAAGTCCACAAGTCATAAAAGGGCCATTGTTTCCCACCCCGGTCTAAATAAAAAAATCTATTTTTTTTAATGTATGCATTTTTTGCACTCGCTTTCCCCTAATATAGATTTTTTCCATTATTCTTCCTACCTAAGCAATAATATTTGCAATTTTCCCTTATTATTCCCCTTATGCATTTATAATTAGATAATGCATTGTAAAGTTTAAAAAAGAAAAAAAAATCAATGGATAATTGCATTCTGATGTATATATTCACTTGGAAACTTCAGGTTTGATCAGGTTTCATATTAAAATTAGGATGAAATCAATTTAATCTCCATGTCTCATGGTGTATGCTTATTTCATGACTCATATGAAGCTCTCCAGCTACTCTATTTCCTCTGGAACTTTGGCTGATCTCTGGCAGATTGATAGTTGGTTTATTATACTTCTTTTATTAAAATAATTTACTTTAGTATTTTGATCAATTATTAAAATAATTGACAATTGCAGAGCCTCTTAAACTCTAAAACTCATGGCTAGAAACGAATCATAATAGTATAATATAGATCTATTTGAGCATCTGAAATTTCTATTTTAAAACAAGCAGTTCTCTCAATCCTAAAACTAATCTCAAGCTGTGATGGTTAAGTAACAACTCTTGTGCTGTACTCTACAATGAAGCAATTTCAGCTTCTCGTTGTTGGAACTTCCAAACTGCAATCCAATTCTAGTACACAATTGACCCATAATTTCAGAAGTTTTTTTTATTGCAAGCAAAACAATTTATTTTATTTATTCATTTGTATTTATAAAGCTGCCCATCTCACAAAATTTGGGTGGCATACACTATAAAAACAACCATAAAATAAATATTCTAAAATTAAAAACATCCAGTTTTAATATTAACATCCCTTGTTAGTTTTGCATATGAAGCCTTGGCCTCACCTAAGAGTGGGACTGTGGGCATCGTAACTATGAAATTGGCAAATGGTATAAAGTCATTGGATAGTGATGCATATTTCTGCTCTCCAATATATTGATCCTAATCATGTCCTTGGTGGGGCTTGTAACATCATCTTTGTGAAGCCAGGTAGCAGAATATTCAGAATGAATTCTAGAAAGTCCTTTCCTTGATCTGAATAATTGGGTTTGGATAGGGTCCAGGTAAAGAGCACCAGGAATCAAAAAAGAAAGTTTTGCAAAGTATTATGCATCATTTGATTATATTTGCCATATTATGCTTCATTCCTTATTAGAACAATCTTTGTGGCATTTTGCATAAGACATGCATTTGCCTTCTTTTATGTCGAAGTATTAAACTGACTATTACAATATTGTTGTTTAGGCTTCTCTAATACAGAATCCTTCAGATATGGTGGAATTCAGCTGACATTATGTCCTAGCTTGAGTCTAATAGATTTTACTCCCACAGATCTGAAAGATATTAGTTTGGGGAAATTCTTTCCTTTTAAATGATTACAGGACTCCCATGTTCTCAGCAGTCATTTCTACTGTTATGAAATTCTTAAACTTGAGATACTAAGACCTAAATATGTAATCACCTCATGCAAGTAATGTCGTCTACATGATTAATCTTACAAAACCGATTTCTCACTTTCACTGTGATTCCATTCATTGGATCAAACATCACTGTTTTGTTTTATCTTTGAAATAGGAGCAAAGACCCCATCAGTTTGAATCAGTGGCATCAACTCAAAGTGTCACGCACAGCAAAAAATGGCATTTTGCAGGTTGATCAGCAAACTCCAATAGAAGGAATGGCAGAGGTAAGAAAAGATCTTATATTCACAAGAACAGAGATTTATTTAATTTTGAAGTTTGGGGTTTTTGGTTTTTTGGTTTTGTTTTTTTTTGGGGGGGGTTAAACTGCTCTGTATGTTTTCTTATTTGATACCAAAAATAAAAGAAGCCCTTCAATAAATTTTAATGAGATACTCTGCTGTGGCTAAATAGGGGCAGTATTTTTTTTAAATAGCTTTTTTAAATTTTTAAATAGTAATTTTATTACAGTTTCTAATTACAGCAATAAAAAACTAATACAACTGAAAAAATAGAAGAACAAAAAGAATGAGTAGAAGGCACAGAAAAGAAAAATAGAGAAATAGAAAACAAAATAAAGAAAAAATAAAGAAAAAAATAAATATACAAAGAAATGACTTTCCATTTAATCCCAATGTGCATAAACAATTTCAGTAACTTATCACCTTTTAAAATAGAACAAATGATCTGTTTTTCCCATATCCCATTCTTATCTGTAAATAAATCCATCAACATTGTCATTTTAGTCCTGATATCAGTGAAAGTTCACTAAGGGATATCAGAGATACAACGTGTCTCTTTTGAGCTTGATCAAATAAATCAATTTTATATTCCTTCCTTTTACTTAGAAGCCAACAATCTTAATCTTTAGTCCATTCAAACAATGTTGTAGAACTTGATTTCTTTTCATCTTTTCTTTATCCATTTTCACATAATTCATCAAAACTTTAACAAGCCTTTTTTTTTTTTACCCAAGTCATTTCCTTGTTTGTTATTTGTATATTCCTTTTAATTATTAAGACATGAACCAGTTTCTTTTGTATGTTCAGGGTAGCATCTTTTTCCATATCATTCTTGTAGAAATCCGTTTTCAAGCCAATCTTAATCTTGTCAGGTAGAACTCGCTGCTCTATCATAACATCATTTCAACACACTCCATAAAGGCAAAAAATCTGCTGGATCCATTATTCAAAAATTTCTTTCAATATATCCAATGTTAAAATATTTTACTTTATTTTGTAATTGTAAATCAAGTTGAAATGTTCTTCTCCTTTAATCGTAATCTTTATTTCCTTCTAGCTCCCTCTAATTTTAAAAATCTAATTGTATATTTAAAAAATAATAAAAACAAAAGCATTTTCCTACAGGAAGGATTCATTATAATTAATTACAAAATCTTGTTTCAGATTTCTCTGGATCCTTTGTCCCTTTTCTAAAATCAAAGTTTTAATCACTTTTGCTGTTTATAAAAAGAGAAAGTTCTTAAATTGTAGTTAAAACTTTTTTTGCTATGAAGTGAATTCATCTGAACCTAAAAAAAACTGTCGATTCAGAGCTCCCTAACAACTAAAAGCAGTTAACAAGCAATTTCCAAAGTGATTAGAAAAGGAAGTATGCAAATTTAATGTTCTTTGAAAGTGCTCATCTTGGATTGAGCAGTTAATTATTTCCTCATCTCCTAGAGTTTTATACTAGCCAGAGAATACTATCTTGTGGTCTCCTTATGAGGGATACCTGTCTGGAGCGCTTCTGGGCAATCTATTAGAAAGTCCTTGTCCAGAGAGGATTTATCAAAGAGAGGTCTACTTGCTGGTTCTTCATTCTATTATTGTCATTGGATCTGATTTTCCCAAAAATTATTATTTTGTATAAAGGAAAGCCAGACATGTGTCTTCAGTGTCTCATTTTCATTTTGCATTTTCAATACTTCAGTAGTCTAGAAGCAACCACTATCCACTGTACAACTAGAGGGATATGCTTTGATTACTTCTCTTACATGTATTTTTATATTTGTTATTTATTGGCAGGGAGCTTTCACTCAGATTAAATGTAATCCTGAGATCTTCATCGGTGGAGTACCAAATTATGATGACGTGAAAAAGAACTCCGGTGTTCTGAAACCATTCTCTGGAAGTATTCAGAAGGTATTTGCTTTTCAAAACAATGTATTCACTATTGCCTAATTACATTTTTAAAGTTAAAATTCGATCCAAGTCTGTTCTATTCCGTTGCCTTATACTGATCTCATAATCAGTAAGCAGAAATCAGGCTGCCCTTTTTAATGGAATTATGTGGAATTCAGAACTGGGCATGTACACATTTTCAGGGTGAAAAGAATGAAGACATCTGGCCATGATTTGTGCATCTTCCAGTTTTAATTCCTTTTTGATACAGCCAAAGTGTCTGATAAATCCAAAATGTACTGACAAACATACAGCTGAGAAGATAGGAAGGAGGGCCATGGCTTTTTTAAAAAAATTGTCCCCCGACCTCTGGATCATTTGATTTTATTCTACACAGTTTTACTGAAGCCAGAGGAAGGGAATTTTTTGGTACCTACTCCAAGATTATCACAGATCGTCAGTTTGGGAGAGAGAGAGTCTGCAGGGGCTTTGCTATGTCTTCTTGATGGCAGAAAAACACCACCATAGATGTTTATTTAGTGGTTTATTTATTTGGGAAAACTTTTAGGAACATATGATTGCAACCTAAAAATTCTTAATCCATTATTTCAGAGTACCAAAAGTCAATTTATTGAACAAGTCCAAAAGAGGCAAACTATGTAGGTAGCTGCTATATTCCCTTTTAAATGCACCCTTCCCTTGAAATGGGGAATTAAATTAATTTTGGATCAGGACGATTCTGTTTTGAAATTACTTTTTTTGTTGAGAAGGTCCTTTTACATAACTAATTTGGCCTGCAAGAATTCTTGCAAACTTCTGTCCTGCTCAAACTCTTCTTCAGCTCAGAGATCAAATATCTAAATATCTAAGACTGATTCAGTGTTTTTTGTTTTTTTTAAAAACAACAACCACCTGGAATTAAGTAATTTCTTAGCCCAAAAAGAGCTCATTCATGGTACATTCTTGTCTTCAAACTCTTGCGGATAAACAGTGGAATCCTTTGGAAGATTGTTCTCAGGCAACATATTGATGAAAGTAAACAGATGTTAGACTGACCTCTCTGAATACTCTTTTCCTCTTCTTGTTTTAGTTGAAAAAAAAGCTTAACTAAAAAGATTTAATTTGATGGTTAATAAATAAAGTAATAAAACAGAAACTTAAAACTTTAAAGCTTATTTCTTATCTCTTAAACAAAGATAGTTTTGAATGACCGGACAATAGACATGAAGCAAGATTTTACAGCTGCAATCAACTTAGGGAACACGGTCCATCCCTGTGTGAGTGCCCCCTGTGATAACAGGGGCTCCTGCGTGCCCAAGAAAGATGGGTATGAATGTGATTGCCCTTTGGGTTTTGAAGGGCAAAACTGCCAGAAAGGTAATATAGTCCTGTAATCATAGCAATTCCATGTATATGTACGCATTCTCAGTCATACTATTTGTTTTTGTTGTTGTTTAATCATATACAGTATGCTTTTTGTTGTGAAAAACAGAGAACCACAGTAGAGGCATAGAAGGATTAATAACCACTGATAGACATAAGGTTCACAACTAAATTTCTGTGAAAGCTGCCACATTATGTGATAAGTTTATTCATTTTTTAATTTACTTACTTATTTTTTCAAATTTTATCACAAAACCAGTGATTCTGGGCAGCGTATAACAAACTTGAAAACAATAATTCAGAAATAATAATGATTATTGATAAATATTGTATTAATGATAAAACACAACTGAAAAAGAAGTAATAGGTGATGTTAATAATAATGGAGCCACTTCACTAGTTGATATTTTCCTGGAGTCTCCAGGCCTCATGGCTCAACCAGGCCTTGAAGGACCTTTGTAAAGTCAAGGGTAAGTTCCCAGGCTGCCTTAGGGAACGAGGATATTCCCAATGCAGGTGCCACAGCCAAGTTACTACTTAGGGGCCATCAAATGTAGCTGTCTAAATGATGGAAGCCGCAGCATTCCCTCTTTGATGGATCAAATGGGAGAGGCTAATACAATTGGGGAGAGGTGGTTCCTCAAATAAGCCAGTTCTATTCCATTTAGGGATTTAGAGGATCAAAATTGCTTCTATGTCTAACTTAAATCACCTTCTAGATTGTTTTATAGTTCGACCAAGAGCATTTGTGCATTAAAAAGGGGAAATATGTTCTTGACTAAGCTAGCAGGTTCACTTGAGAAACTTTATATTTGCAAATAAATCTCATTGTTTCGATTTGTACCAAGCTGAATACCTGCTCTGTCATCTTCTGCAGTGACAGACAGAACCGTAAAAATCCAGAACCCCAAAGATCCATGTTTTTGTTGCTGCTGACTTTCTTTTGCACATCCCCAAATTTATCATTTCATAGGGTTGAAATGCTGCCCAGAATGTTGTTTATTTTCTGAATTTTGCACGCACACAGGCATGCACGGTTGTGCACACACACACACACCCAATAGTAACTGTGGCGTGCCATCCCCCATTTGTTTAACTTATGCTAATCTGTCTCCAATTTCAGATAAGCTAAATTTATTTCATTACAAATTCCCATGGTTATATTGTTAGTTTCCTAAACTAATACCACCACTGAAATTCTGACGAATTTCACTGTTCAGGTTACTTTGAAGCTTCCTGAGCTAGAATTAAAAAGTTCTGTGCTGCCAAGTATAGGAGAAGGAAAAACTTCCTCTTGTCTTATTCAGCAGGATTCAGCTCATGCTCTTAAACAAGGGGATTTATAGCCTTGTAACTTTATCCTCCTTTGTGTTAACTGCCTTTGCCACAAATGCAGCTTCTAATCCTTTGCTACTCTTTGGATCTCTTGTAATTTGTCAGCTAGAACAAATCCTTTCTTAGTCACACCTCAGAGACCACCAAAGAATTATTTACAAAAGTAAAGGAAAAAGGGAGTCTGTCCCTTGGACTCTGATGAACGGAGAGATTTCTTTTTAAACTGAAGGGCTTGTTAAGGGAGTCGAGCTTTTCCAACAACTAAAATGCAGTGCAGGTGTGCTCCAGTAGGTGGCAGTATTTTTCTTTGTGCTGTAAATTATTTGTTCAGATCTGCAGAAGACTTTTACTGTAAGTGGCTGTTCTCTTTCCCATTCTTTTCAATGGATGAAGGCCCTCAACTATATAGTAGATGTCTAGACAAATGTTCTCAAGAGTGTTATGTGCAAGACATATTCTTGTAATGCAGGGATAGGCAAATGTTCATGGACACCAACATTCTTGCAGTTAGTGTGCAAGCGGTTCTCAACCTCAGCAACTTTAAAATGTATAGATTTCAACTCCCAGAATTTTCCCAGCCAGCCATGGAAGTTGAAGCCCACACATCTCTCAAGTTGCTGTGGCTGAGAAACACTGCTCTAGATGCTTGCTAGTTTCTCAAACTTTAATGTTTCCCTGGTTTTTAAATGTGTTTCTAATTTTGTTAAAAATAAAGAAAAGGTAGCAAAGATGCAGAACAGAGTCCCAGCCTGCAAGATCATGTTTATATGTAATCATAACTCTGAGCCTACCTAGACTTTTCTATACTCCAGAATCATGTAGAATCAGATATTTTTTTTATTTACTTGCCAATCAATAGATAAATAAAATGAATGGCTGATTGTAGCACGGTGCTCTGTTTGGAGGCAAATCCTCCTACCCAGAAAAAAGAGATAGAGAGAGAATAAATATGCCGGGTGGATGTAATTCCAAGGAGGAAGAAGGAGTTGCAGGAAGAAATCCTAGTTTGCCTTCTGAGTAAATGCTTCACCATACTTATTTTGCTTAGAGAAAATGATGTGTCTTGGCTAATGGGAGTGCAAAAACCCATTAGCCGTGTGAAACCAAAGTGAGATTTAAGATGACTTAATCAGAGTGGAAGATTTTAATCCAACAAATAATTTTGAAGAATATTAGCTATAGACCATTGACCTGATTTAGGGGGAAAAAAATATTCAGGCTGGTCTTCTGGTATGGCACCTTTTACAAGAATGCAGGGCCATCATCCAGATCTGATCACACCAATTGCAGCAGCAGCAGCCATCAAATCAGGGTTTTGCTTTCTTATCAATGACATCTGTGCATGAGTACAAAGCCACAACTTGCAGTAACATTCAGGAGAAGGCTAGTATTTATCTGAGCCGGACTGCCTTTTTTTTTTTCCCTTGCAAAATTCTGGGTTAGAATGTTACAGTCCGTAAATTTGTGAACCAACCTTCATTAACTGTTGCATGCATAAAACTGCAATAGAATATAGAAGGTTTTTTTTATTTGCTGCTGAAAAATAAAATCTGAATGTTTTTCTGCTTTATGCTGTTCCACTGAAGAATGTGGAAATTACTGCTTGAACAGTAAGTAACATCTCTGAAATGTGTTGAAGAACTGTGCATAGATGTTCGCTTTTAGCTATAATGGCTCCAAAATGATGAAAGATTGACTTTGACGCCACAGTGCTTTGCCGTGTTGTATCTTTTGTATTGTTGTAATGTTGTTTGCATCACAAGGCACATTTCATCATCTAGCCTCCCTTGTCTCCTGGACATGCCTATGATTAGATGTATGATTATGTGTCTATGTGCCTCTTTTGCAAACTTTGCCATATGATTCAAACTGATTTTTACAGCATCTCTAAATAGTATAATTCATAATCATATCCTGAATTATAGGTGTAATGCCCACTACATTATTATCAATTGGCTCATATCCGGCTACTTGTTTTCTTATTTATGATTGGTAAAAATATCCTGCATATTAACATAACCATATGTAAGCAAATAACTTAATAAAACAGGGTAAGGGATAGTTCCATTTGTGAGTGGGCTTGCACAGCAGATTTAAAACACTAAAAAAATATTTAAAACCCCAAATTTTATAAATCAGGAAATGATTCGATCCGGATTTTGCACTTAAACCTTCATTTGCTGTAGTCAGTATGTTCAAAGATTTAAAGAACTGTTGTCCAGAATATTTGGAGAGGTCCAGAACATTTAGAGCCAAATGCACAAGATTAAATGGCCAAACCTGGCGTGCTTATGTGAACTGTTAGTGATGGTAAACGCAGTGTAGAATCTTATGGAAATAAGGGATCGAGCTCGCATTGAGAACTTGAGGAATTGCAATGAAAGATTTTGAAATCAGATGATTTCTACTTTTCAAGCTTCATTTAGATCCTCCCAACTCTCATCTTATGTTTATTCTTGCAAAAGTATTCAGAATCCAAATCATGGATTCTGTGGAAGTAAAGAGGAAGAGAATGCTCCCAGGGGTATGGATATGAAAAAGTTAATTTAATTAATCTTGATAGCGAGCAGAGTCCAGCAAATCCTGGGCAATTCCCAGCTCCAGATCAGAAAATTTCCATCTCTTTCAGGTTATTTTAAGAGGGGAGGGGCTTGTTTCATTTTTGCCATTCCTGTGTACTTTCCATCCTTTAGCTTGTTCTACCAGCTAAAGATAATAATAATAATAATAATAATAATAATAATAATAATAATAATAATAATAATAATAATAATAATAATAGTAGTAGTAGTAGTAGTAGTAGTAGTAGTAGTAAAGTTTGAAGGGACCTTGAAGGTCATCTAGTCCAACCCCCTGCTCAGGCAGGAAACCCTATACCATTTCGGACAAATGGCTGTCCAGTCTCTTCTTAAAAACTTCCAGTGTTGGAGCATTCACCGCTTCTGGAGGCAGGTTGTTCCACTGGTTAATTGTTCTCCCACCACAATTGATCACCCACCACAATTCTGAAATTAAAATTGGAGGATCAACTGCACGTGATTGAGATGATCCAGTAATAGCTAAAATGTTCTACACAGTGTTTGAAAAAGTGCTCTAAGAATGGTTGCTCCTTGGTAAAACTGCAGCTGTGCTCAGAAGTTTGAAGGGCAGGTGTTGAAGAACTTCACTGTGAAGGGCAAGTGGGAGCTTTCACTGCTACTGGGATGTACAGATTTGGGGGAAGGCTGGGGAAAGAAAAAACAGGGTTGGCTTTGCCCTGGCCTGGGAAGAAATGAAGCCATTCTACATAGGCCTTTGTCTGAAATAGACAAACGGGAGAACTGAGCACTTTTAAGTGGATGAAATGTTGTTTTCTATAGAACATTACAGAAGAATTATTTAAAATAAAATAGAGGATGAGATCTGGCACTACAGGAGCAACATACATGGCATCAAAATTACTCATGCCACCTTTTCCAAAAGTCATTTGTTTCCAGTTTTCTTAGACACAGTAGTCCATCACGTAATGTTGTATTTGGGGTAACAACACAATAATCTATATAAATAAAAATGTAAATGTTCGTTTGTTCAAAATCTTAAATCTCTGAAAGTTCTTCACCGATTGCTTTGAAATTTTGACACAACGTTGCCTTCGAATATGCACATGTTTTTATATACCTATATTATATAGATGCCACACCTGTGACAGGTAAAAACATGCTTTTTTGAAAAACAGCGCCATCTGTTGGACATAAAAGCAACACACGCGGACTGAGCCACAGCAACGCGTGGCCGGGTACAGCTAGTCAATAATAAATCTGAAGCATATGCGGTATATGAAGCATATGAGGATCCTCCTTCCTCCTTCCCTATTATATCCTTCCTTCATCTGAAATTCAGACAATTCCGTGTTTATTTACATAGGTGGTAATGTCTTACTTTCCATGTAATGGTGCGATGGGATCTTCCTAATTCATATTTATCACTTACTGTTATTGCAATGAAAGACCATAAGATCCTTCTCTAGGTTTGACCTGTAGGGTTAAGAAGTTTATCATGTCACTGTGAAGGTGGGACTTTGAATCACAGTTAATCAAAAATTATTGACTAAGAATCTTCTGAAAAATATATGTTTTTAATGTTCCCTTATGTTTGTTGATACTAATCACTGAATGTATAAAACTTGAATTTTGATATTAAGTTTCCCTTAACATTTTAGTTGTGATGGAAGCCATTGAAATTCCACAGTTCATAGGGCGCAGTTATCTTACATACGACAATCCAAACATTCTTAAAAGGTAAATTCATACAATCGGAGCCTGAGTTTTGCTTGTAGTTCTGTCATTCAGAAATGCTCTTGGATATGTGAGTGGTTATGGCTTTACGCAGGTACATGGCAAATATTAAAAGCACGTGAACTGTCTTTTCAGACTTAGATTAAAATCTGTTTTGCTGTATTTTAAAACAGCCAGCAGATATCATATAGTGTTATGTATTGCTTTCTGTGTATTTTTACCCAGCTGCCATTGGCCATGCTGGCAACAAGAAGTGGGTGTGTATAGGACCAGGGTTTTATCTTGCTATGTAGGAAAATATGGTAGAAAGGGAGACATAGAAAGCTTCAGTGACAGCCAAAATCTGACTTAGATTTCTTTAAACTGATGCCCTCTAGTTGTGCTCATATCAAAAGAACTACTTTTGATATGGATATGAACCACATCACAGAAGGTTTACTCAAATGTACAAAGTAAACAAAACCCAGTGCTTTTTTTTTGAAACCAGCTATATTTTTTTTAAAAAAAATGTTATTTGACACTTTACAACTCAACTAATGATTTGTTATTCCCCAAAGCCACTTTGAGAGTATACTTATCAGATCTTTAGGAGAAACATCCGAATGTTATATTATCAGAGGGGGGAGAGAGGAAGTTATTGCAATCAAGATTATGTTATTTCCCCCCATGCCACTGACATCCTATTTCATACACCACACAGAGTGTCAGGATCAAGAACAAATGTGTTTATGAGATTTAAGACTGCACTGATGGATGGTCTATTGTTATGGAGAGGTGACAGCCCAATGCGATCCAACAGTGACTTCATCTCCCTTGGTCTTCAGGATGGTTCCCTGGTCTTCAGGTAGGCTATCTTTTCACTTGGAACAGGCATGGCTGTGATATTTACATAAATTCCTGCCCTGAGTTGTGAATGAATGTATTTTTTCTGTGTAACTGAGTTGCCCATTTCTTGAAACGAATTGCAATTTCTTCATGTTATTTTTTGTTTAAAAAAGTGTTAGTCTCACAGAATCATACAGGATCCAGCATTCAATGAAAATATTTGGGGATGGTGGCTCATTCCTCAGTCTAATGAAAGATGAAGTATAAGTTATAATAAGTCCTAGATATCTGTTCCCAGTATATTGGAAGGTATAATCATTTAGAGAGAGAAAATAATATGGGCATGGATGCATGTAGGGTTCTGGGTAATAGACATAAATGTAAAAATAAAATCCTGTTCATGCAAATCTCATATAGCAGAAAATATGAAAAGGAGAAAAAAGGTCCAGGATTTATAAGTTGTTAAGGAAGTAGATGAAGATGAGATACCCCTGATTAATTGTATATGTTATTTAATTCATTTGACATCTCAGTCATGTACCAAAATATTATCATAAATTAATATGAAAACCTAATTGTAGAGCAGTATTTGTCAACATTGATCTCTTTAAGTTGTGTAGATTTTAACTCCCAGAATTGCCCAGCCAGCTGACTAGGGAATTCTGGGAGTTGAAGTTCACACAGCTTAAAACAGACAAGGTTGAGTAAAACTATTGTAGAGAGAATCATATTGCAAGGTACCCCTTGTTAGTAATAGTATCGTTATTATTTTGAAAATAATAATGCTGCACAACAGATATTTAGAAGTCAAGACCATAGTATTACAGTAACAGGTCTCCTCCATCTTGATTTTGGGAGTTCTGTTGTGTAGTTAATATTGCTGCCAAAGGAACTATAATTAAGTAAAAGTGTTTCAGTCATAAAAAGGAAGGAGGCATCAGTGGGTTACAAGATCTTTTCCTGCCAATCTTTTTCTACACAGTCCTACAAATATGTGTTAGGAAATGCCATAGGTTTTACGTAATAGTACAGCCTTAATCTCAAAAGAATACTTATCCTGGATCTATGTCAGTTATAACTCATATTTTGTCATTTTTCTTTTCTTTCCTTTGCTTTTGTTTTTGTAATTGTTATATTTTACTGCTCTTAATGCTTTTAATATCCTTGTAATCTCCCTAGAGACTCACAGTTATCAGAACAGAATAAAGAAAAATAAGTGTTGTCCAATGGTTGTTGTTTAATGAAAAGGAATGAACATGACTGTATGTTCTCTAGAATCTGTTGACTCTTTTCCTTTGTTTTCAGTTACAATCTGGGCAGTGGCATTGCTTATATAATAGTGAATGGCTCTTTCAATGATGGCAGGTGGCATAAAGTTAAAGCAGTTCGGTAAGTTGTAATTCTTGATCCTTGAATAGTTCTATTCTTCAATAAACATCAATGTGTAAATCCACTTTCAATATTCTTTTTTTAAAAAATAAAAAATAAAAATGCAAACCGTATTTCCAGCATGGTGTCCACCATATTTTACATGGTGGTCTGAAGACTAGACATCTAAATTTTTCATACAGATGTCATGATACTATATCATGATGAGACGTCTTTGCTTTGCGTCCTCATAACATTGGGAATCTGATTTCTCCAGTGTGTGATTGCCAGCATATGGGACCACACAACAAAAACATAGGTACCGCTTTGTAAGCATATAGTCTTCTCCCTTACTCAAAGGGCTTTCTTCCCCTTCTCAAGCTCTGCTGTCGTCCTACAGTTGGCCCAATCAGCAGAAAGCATCTGAAACATGTACAACCACTTATACATGTTCAAATAAGATACATTATTTGATTGTGGGAACATATCTTTTTATCAATTTAAGGGATGGACAATCTGGGAAGATCACAGTTGATGATTATGGTGCCAGAACTGGAAAATCACCAGGAATGATGAGACAGTTGAATATCAATGGGGATTTATATGTTGGTAAGTCCTGCTCAATTCTTTTTTGATTTTATTTAATAATTATGGAGAAGTTTATTTAAAATTGTATATTTTATATTTTTAATATTTTAATTATATATTTAATATGACTTATAATTTTTAAATATTTTATAACCCTAACCCTCACTGATAACCAAGAAAATAGCTTTGGTGTTGTAGTGAAACAGTGTAATCTGAAGGCTGATTTTTTTCTTTCTTGGTTTAATATCTGTCCTGTAAAAGAAATCCCTGAAAGGCATAGACAGGATTACCTTACTGTTGAGTTATGTACCTTCCTTATTATCAGGTACCCAGTACTTTTTAAAACACTTGAATAAGTGCCCTGTGACATTCCATATTACTAGAATGGAAAAGCCAGTTTGGCCCCATTTAAAGCTAGAGGATGTGTGTGTGCGGGGAAAATCAGCTTATTTTTTTAAATTATTATTTTCCAGAGTGCCCTAGGTACCATTTTCTGATTATACTCCCAGCCCCACAACAACAACAACAAGAAGTCTAAAAATTAGTCCATTCTCTTTGGAGTACAACAGTGGTGTTCTAGCTACAGGTCATCCTTGCGTTTGTTTCCATGTTGTGTTGGCTTGATGGTTGAGACAAGAATGGAAACCTCATGCAGTGTTCAGTACAGCTGTGAATATGGGATGGAACCCAAGAATAACTCCCCACAATCCCCCTTTCTGTTTCCCATATTTTCCCTAGAGCATTGAAGATTTTCTGGAAAAGGATTTGGATAGACGATGGAGCTGAAAGAGAGTCAGTTAGGTGCAGTAGTGAAAGGCACTGGACTAAAGCAGAAGAGAGAGGGAGTTTTAGTCCTGCCTTAGGCACAGAACTAACTGATGTTTGTGGGCCAGTTAGTTTCTCCCAGCCCTAGGAAGAAGCCAGCAAGGACAAACCATTTCCAAAATCGTTTCCAAGTTTCACTCTGAGTTGTATTTTTGCCACATTGTCTTTTTCCTTCCCTGTGTGTGTTTGAAACAATGCTTGATAAAACCAAATACAGAGAAAACACTTGCCTTGAAACTGACTGCCCTTGAGGACAAGATGTTCCCTGTAACATTTTATGATGATTTTTTACAACATTTACAACAGAGTGCTCCTATATTGACTGTCTTCTGCTAGGGGAAAGATTTATGATCTGCTCTTTAAGGTTTTTTTTTCAGCCCACTGAAAAATTGAAGCTTGTTTATCCAGAAGCAACTTCTGATCCTTTTCAGAGCTTCCCATCTATCTGGGAGACACTGAAGGGATGAAAAGGTGGGCAGAGACCATTCATGTTCTCATTGATCTCCACCCTCACTTTTAAATGCCTAGAGAAAGTGGGGCAAATTGGCAGGATGTCTAGGTCAGAAAAGAATCACTTTCAAAGTGTCTCTGTAATAGAATGAATTGTGCTTCACTTGGCTTTTGGTCTTATCATATTAAATGGAACTTGCTGCAATTTAATGAATCTGCTTTGGGCACCTCTCTGAAGAGGTTTTCAGGGCCAGAAAAAGCCATACAGAGCTTTATCAAATTTGTCTTTTTCTCTTGCAGGAGGAATGAAAGAAATAGCGCTGCATACAAACCGACAGTATATGAGAGGTCTCGTAGGTTGCATTTCGCACTTCACACTTTCTACAGATTTTCATATTTCACTAGTTGAAGATGCAGCTGATGGGAAGAACATTAACACTTGTGGGAGAAAGTAACAGACAGAAATCCATCATCACACAGACAATAATATTGTGTAGCAGCAAAATGACTGATCTTGCACAGTGAAGACTTCTCCCACGAAACACCTGGAAGAGTGAATCGGAAGTGAAGTGAAAGCAAAACAAAAGGGATCATTTGCCATTTCTCTTTTCCTTTGGATGTTGTGCTCTTTCAGTCATACCAAATGCTTTATAGGGACCATCACAATTTTTGCTACTTCAACTACAGGACAATCTCACCAAATCCTAGCACCGCTGCAAATGTCTGGTGCTTTTCTTCACATGCCTGGTGTATAAAACCTACAGTTCTGGCAGATCTATCTATCTATCAGGCATGTCTGGTTCATAGGTGAGTGGCATTTACCAGGGCCAATTTACCCCCTGACTAAGAAATGGCTCAGATGTGCAGGAATTTGCACTATTTTGTTTATTTGATGGTTTTCTATTTTGCCTTTCTTCAAGAGCTCAAGTAGGCACAGCCCAGGCCTCCTCCTTCCAATTTTCCCTACTCTATCAGATAGGTTGGGTTTAATAAGAGTGACAAGCCTAAGGTACCAGTAGGTCTCTGGCCGTGGAGGAGTGTGAATCACCCTGGCCTTAACCCAATATACCATACTGGCCCTAGTTATGGAGCCCAGGGCTTCTGAGGGTGGGAGCAACTCCTGCTGTATCTTAATATGCTTTAGCACAGAGCAAATTTTAAGGTCTCCATTTATGTTTCCCACAGCTGGGCATTTTTTGCTCCTCAGTTCTTCTCCTTTAGAAATAGCATGTGGGTTGACTTATCCATTTTAGTGGGTAGAGCAATGGTAATTAAAGCTTAATACTATCAACAACCATAGTTGTAAGGTAGCATGGACCAAAAGAGCTGGTCCCCAAATATATGCCTACTTCTTTGAGTGTGGTGCTAAAGCCAGAACCACTAGCTTAACTGTCAGCTACAAAGGGGTGGCAGTGAAATCCACCAGCAGAGCACATGGAATTTATGTCCAACAGCCAGACCACTGGGATTATGCATGAATGGAAAAATGTTCTTTGGGTCTATGTGTTCTATTGACCACAAGGAACCATGAGAAATTGCTTTCTCCCTTATTATGCAGTCCAGGCCCACAAGCTAGATGGGATTGTGCTCCATAGTGGGTGCTATTTGCCACACAACTTTCAGAAAATTTAGATGAGTTGCTTCTAATAACAGTTTTGAAAGTATTAAAATTTGTTTGGATTTAAAATCCATTTTCAGAAAAGGTTTTCTGAATTGTTTGATTTATTTTTGGAGAAAAAAATTTATCCTTGGCATTTTTTTTCTTTTTCTTTCTTTTTTTTCAGTCAAAGATACTCCACTTCTTTAACAAAATCAAACACATAGACTAGCCTTTCTACCCTTTGCTAGCCTTTGGTCACCATGATGTAAAAAGATATTGAGACTCTAGAAAGAGTGCAGAGAAGAGAAACAAAGATGATTAGGGGACAGTAGGCTAAAACATATGAAGAACAGCTGCAGGAATTGGGTATGTCTAGCTTAATGAAAAGAAGGACTAGGGGTGATATGATAGTAGTGTCCAATATCTAAGGGGCTGCCATGAAGAAGAGAAGGTCAACCTATTCTCCAGCATACCTGAAGGCAGGACAAGAAACAATGGATGAAAACTAATCAAGGAGAGAAGCAACCTAGAACTAAGGAGAAATTTCCTGACCGAACAATTAATCAATGGAACAACTTGCCTCCAGAAGTTGTGGGTGCTCTAACACTGGAGGTTTTTAAGAAGAGATTGCACAACCATTTGTCTGAAATAGTATAGAGTTTCCTGCCTGAGCAGGTAGTTTGACTAGAAGACCTCCAAGGTTCCTTCCAACACTTTTATTATTATTATTATTATTATCTCTCTCTATGACACTCATATCATTGGCCCACCAAAAGACAATGTTTTGCTTTTTTTTAATGCTTTTATTTGCAAATGAGGTTCTGCTACTTTGCATGGATAAAATTAACATTATAACAAAAAAACTGAACTTTCACAAGGTACGCACATACATGTCAGCCCAAACCTTCATAGAATCTTTGCAATTTTAAATGCACTCTTAAGTTCTAAATAGGACAGAAGAGTATAAACGTAGGGCACATGCACACAACAGCTTATTAGAACAGCTACAACAATATTATGCCAGCAGTTTATATTTACACAGCCTCAGCTACTTGTGTGTGAAGCACAACAGTGCATGCACACACACTGTTGCATTATCAGTCTGCAAAATAAACTTGCCATGGCCAACTGACCATGGGAGAACTTGCTGTGGGACAAGAGTTATACTAATATCGAAGAAATAGTGGAATAGAACCATTAAAGAAAGGACGCCAAAGGAGGGACAAAGGGAAATGTGAATTTAAAAAATTAAAATATTTTTTAAATTATTTTAAATAATTAAATTGAAGTATTGAATTGTCCTGCAATGAATTGTCCCATGGCGAGTTGGCCATAGTGAGTTGTCCCTCAGCGAATTGTCCCATGGCAAGTTGGCCATGGTGAATTGTCCCATTCAGGTGCAATGTTACCTATCTGCCCACATGAAGTTCTTCACAGTCGTTCTTAAAAAAAAGTTGTAGTATCTTACCAGGTAACCTGTCCCACATAACAACTCTTGGAAATGTTCTGTTTGGACATGTAATTGTTTGCTTTTCGCTTCTCAACTCTCATTTCAACAATCCTGCACTCCTCCTAAATTTATAACAGCAGGAAGTTGACTGTTGCTGCTTCTGTACTGGCAAGTTTGAGGAAAGTTTGAAAACTTGTGTGCTACGAGGAGCAACCCTTTCAGAAGGCTCAAGATACTCAGATGGAAGCTGCTTGAAAAATCGAAAAATCTGTTTGTTTCACACTGTGAACAACATTAGACCTACTTTGAAACAAAATAATTAGAGCGGGTCAGTTGATTTCAAAGTTGATCATTTTTTAAAAATTCTGATATAAGATCCCTTATCCAGTTTCTCTGTAGGTTGGGCAAATTGTAAGGAATGTTTCTGTTTTGTTCAGATTCAGAACGTTCTAAACACCTTTCTTGTGGTTGAAGGTCAAAATATTTGCTATGCCCTAAGATCGTAGTTATGAGGATAGTATAGTATTTTCCTTTTAATTTTTTAATTACATTTCATTATACAGTAAAAATACAGAAGAAACGAGTAGAAAACTAATGGAAAGAAAAGTGTAGAGAGAGAGAAAAAACTGGTGAATTCTGACCTTTTTCTGTTCAATACAAAAAAAAATGCAACCTCAACCTTTTGCTTTACATTTTGCAACATTTCAATCCATTTCTATAATAATACAAATGCTAAAATCAAAGTTTCATTGTCTTTCAGTTTCAAGCAAAAAAAAATCCAGAAGCGGTTTCAAAGTAGAAACAAAACTAGATAAATTCTTTTCCTGAATTAAAAGGACTGAAGCATTTTCATGCGGTGAGTTTCTATAGGTGGGATTACTGATCCCTCAGTAAGTCTCTCTCCTTTCTTCTAGATGAAATTATACTATAAGGAAGGGACCACATTAAACTTGTGAATTGCTTATTTTGTTTGCATTAAAGAAAGCTAAGAAAGATTTTCCTTAGCTCTTTAACTGAACATTCAGAACATCAGCTTGCTAGAGAAGACAAGGAAAACCAACAGAGGTAGGGAGAGCGCATCAAATATAATCAAGATGTGTGAATGAAACTTTGCCTTTTACAAGTGGGACATGTTAAAAGGATGTGGGGTTTCAATCGAATGTTGTCACCACCATATGATTCTTTGGACACCCTACAGAGGAGGAAAGTATATTCTGCAAATGTGAGCTTCTTCCAGTCAGATGTTTTGACGTACGTTGATAACATATCATGATAACTTCATGAGTCAGAGATGATCTCACCCTGTTGCTTTAGGCATAAATTATGCTTTCACAATTTCATTCCCCCGCCCCATTAGAATGGGTGCATTTGCTGAGCCAAAATCATATCTTGAGATCCAAATCTCTTGAAAGTTTCATATTTGCTCCTGTAGGCTTTTAAGGGAAGCTTTGATGCTTATTGACTTTTCTCATTCACTTCCTGAATACATTCGTTTTAAGCAGGCATGCAGATGCTTCATATGCTGTTCCTATATCGTCTCCAAGTAGTAAGCAGAGTAGTTGGGTTCTTGTTAAAGTCCATTTTGATGGACTTGGCAAAGGCCCTCCCTAGAAGGGAATTCTTTCAGGAACCCAAAATCCATCTTCACCCCAACATCTTCTAACAGACAGATTGAAAGTTGGAATAATTACATTTAAAATAATTGAGATGTTCAGGTAATGTCTTTTAAGAGGCTGCTTTCGTCTACCAAAATGCCCATCCTATAGTACAATTTAAAGAACTTTGAGAAGCTCCATGTTACTTTGAAATTCCTCCACAAAAGTTTGGATAAAAGTTTCATTTTCGGTTAAACACCGGGCCTTTGCTTTTAGTAGCTTTTTGTCCTTCAGGTGAAAGAAGAGTGTTTTTTTTTAAAACAAGGCTGAGCTCAGTTAACCTTCCTTCGGTTTGCAGTTTCAGTTCTGGAATCTAAATTAAGTATTAATTGCATTTGTGGGTTTGTCTGTTGAGCTTTGGGTTACATCTAATTTAAAATGGCTCAGAGCTAAGGTATTTTCTTGGTGGCCAAATGTATTTCAGAACTAACTGCTGTTTCATATGAGACCAAATTAGGCATTTCCCATAAGGATCAGGTCATGCTTCAACCTGATCTAACCTTTATTACTAAGATTAGCTCCCTTTTTCACTGGAAATGCCATTATCCTCGTTTTGTTTTAATCTCCCTCCTCATAAGGAGAACTGGCATAAAGTCAGTTGAATGATTTTAGGGCATGCTGTTTTAACTTTAATAGGTTTGCAGATTTTTGGCAGTCTGAAGGCTTATTCAAATTCAGAGCAGAAAAGGTATTAGAGAGCCTGAAAGAGCATATAATTGAGACCTTTGGAGGCTTAGAGGGAAAAAGAATCATCAGTGAGCGGCACATTCAGCTAGAGAGATTGTGACTTGAGCAGTTTTCCTGTAGGGGAGATTTGCAAAGTTCTCACTTGAGCATCCCTATGCACATATGATGAATATGCATTGGCAGC